CCACCCGCCTGGTCAACAGTGCCGGCTGATCCTGCCTTGGCCATCCTGGCCCAGCACCTGGCTTACCCCCACTGGTGACCGTATTGTGACGTGGGCCGCCCCAGGCCGAGCCAACACCGGAGACAAGATAATGACGCTGTGCACTCCGCCCTGCATGGTGCGACTGCATTGACGACGCACGATGCGCTGACGTGCGTGCGAGCCTCCCTCAGTGCTCGTGCATGGTCAAAGCGCCCTCCACCACCTTGGCACTTTCCTGCGCATCCAGCTTCCGCGGGGGCCACGTCCGCCAGTTGGGAACCGAGTAAGTCCCGCGATTGCTGGCCCGTTCCTGGGCCGGCCGGTGCCGGACCCTGCCCCCCGAACGGCCGGTTGACCATTCGACCTGGACTCCCCATCTGCGTACCTAACGGGCTTGCCAAGTAGGGGGGCGCGGCACCATGGCTAAAACCGGCCCAGGCGGGCTAATCACCCGTTGCTTTCCTGTGGCCGCCGGAACCGCGACGTGCTGATGTCCCCCGTCTGCGGGAGGGCCGGTCCAAACACACCGATAGTCCCTTGTGCGCCCGCCCACTCCGCTATCTGGCTACTTTGTTAAAAGTGCCTTGTTTCTTTCCTGTCCTGTGTGTTCCCGCGTCTATTTTCTGAGCCAGTCCCTTTTTCTTTCCGCCCTCAGTCTTCTATTTACACCCATTTCCAATCTCGCCCTCTGCCGCATATAAGGGTCCGCGTCGTTCTCCATAACCGTGGCCCGCGCCCAGTTTGGCGCGAAGTCATCGAGCCATACCTGGGATGCCTGGAGGCCCATCCCTATTGATGGACGGCTGCCGCGACGTGGCCGAGGCTGAATACACACCTTTCCGTATTCCGAGCCCGATGCTGCGCCGGTGCGGGGGCTCTCGTCCGGGCGGGTGAAGCCCCACGCCGGTTCCCAGTTGGCCCTATTCGCCCCTAGCTATCACGCACGCCTTCATCACCGACTCGCCGTGACTGCGACATAGCCCTTGACTGGAGGCCGACCACCAGTTTTTCCGTCCAACGGCCGTATATCTCAGTCCTTCGCACCGGGGACCTGAAGTGCGGCGTGGGGCTCAACCAGTCTCGCTCCCCTCGTTCCGACTGCTTCTCTGTCTGCGCCAACGGCGCCTGGCTGGCCGTCCCATGTGTGCTGCTGTCATAATCTGGCCCGTTGGGCAGCGCGCATCGGTCTGGCGAGCAACTGGTGCATCCACCAAGAAGCCCTGCGGCGACGCTTCTCTCTATGGCGGACGCTTACACCCGCTCGCGCTCGCAGACTCACTTTGCATCTATCCTCCCGCGGCTGGCCTGGGAGAGCAGTTTTCGAGCCGCGGCCCTGCCCGATTGCGCGCCCTGCCGCGTCCCGTCCTGACGGCGCGAATCCGCCACCGACCCGAGCCCACGCCTCCACACTCGCGTCTCCGCCCGCGCCGCGAGCGTATCCTGCTGCTTGGCGTCACAATGTCACTATCAATCGACTCGCGCTTCCCAGCCTGTCCCAACCGCTCCACGAAGCCCGGTGCGGCTACTGAAACCCTCTGCGTGTCACAATCGGTCCCCATGGAGCCCAGGCCTTTCTCCTCCCTGGTAGGTCTCCTCATCCCACTTGTCCTGCCTTCACACGCCTCCCATCGGTGGATTCGGGCTTAGACTACTTTCCCTATCCTCTCAAAATCCGGGATGACTCATGTTTTTTCGTGACTTGACCTCGGTATGCTCAGTCCAGCTAAGGTTACTCCCCGGACTGCAGCACAATCCTGCCCAGCGGGGGGGCTTCCCGCAGCCGGGCCAACGCTTGCTCAACCTGTTCCAGCGGGTAAAGCTCAGACACCACCGGCTTCAATCGCCCCTGCTCTACGAGATTGACCACGTCCACCACGTCCTGGAGGGTCGAGGCCCGGGTGCCCAGGATGCTCCATTGGCCGTAAATCAGATCAGCCGTGTCCACCGCCAGGGGGATGCCGTAGTTGTAGCCCAGGATTACCAGTCGTCCGCCCAGCTTGAGGCACGCCAGGCTGTCGGGCAGGATTTCGGCCACCGCTTCGCCGCCCACGCCTTCCACTACGACGTCGGCACCCAGGCCGTTGGTTAATTCCTTGACCCTCTCGGGCAATGATTCTGTCCGGCTATTGACGATCACGTCGGGTTTGAACTGCTCGGCTCCCTGCAGCTTGTCCGGCACCACGTCGGCGGCGATTACCCGGGCTCCCATCAGCCTGGCCATCTGCATTGCGTGTATTCCCAGTCCGCCGATGCCGATGATAACCACCGTCTCCCCAGCCTGGACCTTGGCCTTCTGGGTAAGGGCGTGATACACGCTGGCCATGGCATCGGGGATGATAGCCGCTTCCTCCCAAGGAACTTCAGGGGAAATTTTGACCGCGTTGCGGCCCGACACCCGCATGAACTGGCTGAACCCGCCGTTAATCTCAAATCCGGTGCGGGGAGCGGTAACGCAATAGTTCTCGAAGCCCTTGCGACAGTAGTCGCAGTAGCCGCAGCCCTCGGTGGGATAGACGGTAACGTGGTCTCCGGGCTCAAGTCCTGGCACCTCAGCGCCAACCTCCACCACCTCGCCAGCCGCCTCGTGGCCCGGTATGTGGGGCAGGGGCACTGTGGGCACCAGGCCTCCGGTAATTTTTAAATCGGTGGCGCAGAGGCCGTTAGCTGCAACCTTAATCAGCACGTCTCTTGGGCCGATTTGCGGTTCGGGAACGTCCTGCCAGGCCAGGGGAGCGTTGAACTGCTCCAGTACCATTGCTTTCATTGGTTTGTTCCTATTGCGTTTTGGTTGTCGCAACTTCTTTCGGGTACCAAGTTGCCCCTGCTACTGTTAACCGCTCATCCTGAACTCGTTGAAGTAAGAAGTCCGGTTATCGATGGTTCGGCAGGCTTAAAATGAGCGTGAAATACTTACTTCCGCTCATCCTGAGCTTGTCGAAGGGTCTCCGCTACCATCTGGAGTTTGGTAATTGTTCTGAGATAGCCTGACGAGCTTCTCCCAATCTCGCGCTATCAACACCTCTTTCCTGGCCCTTGACCACCCTTTTCTTTGCCTTTCCCGTTCGAATGCTTCCTCTCGAGCGGCAAGCTGGTCTGAAAAAACCAGGGTGACGGGACGGCGGAAGAAGGTGTGGTCTCTTATTTCGCCACGGCTAGGGGCTTCCAGACACGTTTCCAAGTTGTCGGTATGCCCCGTGTAATAGGAGCCGTCCGCGCACCTGAGGATGTAAACGTAGAATGCCAATAACCTGACTCCATGTTTTCATCCTTCGAGAGGCTCAGGATGAGCGGGATTATGGTCCCCTTTGACAACCGCCGATGGCAGTCCCGACGCCCCCCTACTCTTCCAGCGTCGTAATATCCCCCGGATCCAACCCCAGTTCCTGGGCTTTCAGCAGGCGGCGCATTATTTTGCCGGAGCGGGTTTTGGGCAGGGTAGGGGTGAACTCGATTTCCGCCGGCACTGCGATGGGACCCAAGACAGTGCGGACGTGGTTGCGCAGGGTGTCGATCATCAGGTCTGACGGGTCGTTGCCCATGCGCAGGGTAACAAAGCCCTTGATCACCTCGCCGCGCAGTTCGTCGGGTTTGCCGATGACCGCCGCCTCGGCTACCGAGGGATGGGACACCAAGGCGCTTTCCACCTCCGCCGAGCCAATGCGGTGGCCGGCCACATTCAGCACATCATCGGCGCGGCCGACCACCATGTAATAGCCGTCGGCGTCGCGCAGGGCCACATCACCGGTGAGATACACCCCGGGGACCTGGTTCCAGGTGTCGTTGTAGCGGTCCGGATCGCCCCACACGGTGCGGGAGAAGTGGGGGAAGGGACGGCGTATCACCAGCAGTCCGCCCTTGTCCGGTTCCTCAATGGGCTGACCCTCCCGGTCCACGATGTCCATCAACGCGCCGGGCAGGGGCTTGCCCACCCGTCCTGGGCGGGTTTCCATGGTGGCCATGGTGCCGAGGCAGGGGCCCCCCGTCTCCGTCTGCCACCAGTTGTCCACGATGTGGGCCCACTCGCCGCTGCCGCAGATATGCTCGTAGGCCCAGCGCAGGGCCTCGGGATTCAGGGGTTCGCCAGCGCAGGTGAGGAAGCGCAGAGAGCGCAGGTTGTACTGCTTGGCGGGTTCCTCGCCGTAGCGCATCAACATGCGTACCGCAGTGGGGGCAGTGAAGATGACGTTTACGCCGTACTTCTCGATGATTTCGTAGAAGATTGCGTTGTGGGGGTAATCCGGCGCGCCTTCGCGAAAGACGGTGGTGGCCCCGGCTACCAGGGGCGCATAAACGATGTAGCTGTGGCCTACCACCCAGCCAATGTCCGACATGCACCAGAAGACGTCCTTATCCTTGACGTCCCAGAAGTTCTTGAAGTGGTAGTGGGTGCCGACCATGTACCCGCCGTGGACGTGGACTACGCCCTTGGGCTTGCCGGTGGTGCCGCTGGTATACAGGATGTAAAGGGGATCTTCGGCGTCCATTACCTCGGCTTCGCAGTCAATGGACTGACCGGCCAGCAGTTCCTCGAAATCCACCTGCCCAACCTTCAGGTCTTCGCGGGCCATTTCCCGCCGCCAGACCAACACCGAAGTCAGCGAGTCGCAGCCTTCCACCGCCTCGTTGGCGATGCCGATGAGGTCAACCTTGTTGCCCCGGCGGTAGCCCACGTCGCCGGTGATCAGCAGCTTGGCCGAGGCATCCTGGATACGGTCCCGCAGAGAACCCACGCTGAAACCGGCATAGACTACGCTGTGGATGGCGCCTATGCGGGCGCAGGCCAGCATGGTTATGGCCCCTTCCGGCGTCAGGGGCATGTAGATTACCACCCGATCGCCCTTGCCAATGCCCAGGGACTTGAGGCCGTTGGCGCATCGGTTGACCTGCTGGGCCAGGCGGGCGTAGGTATAGACCTGCTCCGTGCCGTCTTCTCCCAGCCAGATGAGGGCCGCCTTGTTGCGCCTTTCGGTGTTCAGATGCACGTCCAGAGCGTTGTAGCAGATGTTGGTCTGCCCGCCCACGAACCACCGGAAGTTGGGGTACTCCCACTGGAAGACCTCGTCCCAGCGGCGGAACCAGTGCAGGCCCTCGGCGGCCTCGGCCCAGAACCCCTCGGGGTCCTCGATGGAACGGGCGTAGATGCCGTCGTAGTCCTGCAGCGCCGCCTGGGCCGAAACGTGGGGCGGTGAGGGAATCTGGCCGGTTTCCAGAAGCAGGTGGTCAATCTGTCCTTGCTGAACCATTGTTGTTGCTCCTTAACGTGGTAGGTTTCTCGTTGATGGTATGGAGAGGCTGGTTTACATGTAGTGCTTCAACCCAAGTTGCTACTGGCGGCCTATTTCCGGTATCGAGAGAGACCCTGCATATCTTTCGCGCAAGCATATCTTTAATTTCCAGATGTCAGGGTACGGCTTCGGTCTCGCCGGTAGATGGATTGGTCTAAATCGAATGGCGGTGCCCCTCACGCTTCAAGCGACAGCCGTGTCGCACGATATGCCGCAGCAAGTCGTTCCGCTTCATATAACGGTGTATTCACCCTCTGGCAGCGCGTCGGGCAGGCCGATGGTTTCAGGTTTAGTGCCATAGGGAGTGCTTCTCATGCCATCCTCCCGGCGGTCCTTGAGAATCAAAGCTATGGCGCAGGCGAGGTCGGTCCGACACTCTTCCTTGGTCTTCCCCTGGCCGTTGGCCCCAGGAATTTCCAGGCAGTATCCGATGTACCACCCGTCATCCTTTTCGTAAACGACCGTAAATTCATTGTGCATCGTTCCACCTCTATGGGCCTAACTCCCCCTATTCTAACCCTGCCCCCTAATAGGAACAATGTTTGGATGACAGTTAAGGCTATATGTGGCATTCTATGGCGAAGAACCGTGCATCATCGGCGGAAGGAGCAGGAGTTCTTCTGGGTGCGCGAGAACGGGGGATTGGTTATGCCACTAGATGACCTGGTTCAAGTAATCGAAACCATTCAGCGGCGCATCACAAGCTATGGACCTACTTTTAATGAAACGCAGACCCGAGTGGCTCTTATTGATCCTTTATTGACAGCATTAGGGTGGGACGTTGCTGACCCGGCACTGGTGACGCCTGAGTACAGAACTGACGTAGGCTGGGCCGATTACGCTCTTCAGGGCCCGGGGAGTAAACCAGCCAGCGTGGTAGAGGCTAAGCGGTTGGGGTCGTTCGTAGAAAACCACTTGGATCAAATGGTCGGGTATTGTATCTCTCAGGGCATTGCTTATGCGGCGGTAACCGACGGCGACCATTGGCAAATGTACCGTACCTTCGACCCGGTTCCCTTGGTTCAGAAGCGCGTTCTGGATGTGCAGATTAGCACTACGCATGCTTTTGAATGCGCTTTGAAGTTCCTGTTGCTTTGGAAACCTAACGTCGAAACGGGGAAGGGCTATTAAGGGAGAGAAGCCAGTTTTTCCTGGAGGCTCTAGGGATGGTGGTGGCGAGGACCCACCGCCACCGCCAGGGGATTGGACGCCTTTGCCTGATTTCCAGTTTGAAGGTAAGTCAGTGAAAGAACTTACATTAAAACTCCCCGATGGGGTCGAAAGGCAATTGCAATACTGGTATGAAATCCCTATTGAGATTGCCGAATACCTGATTAGGAAAGGGAAATTGACCGCCGAAAAATGTCCGGTAGATAAGAGTCGCGGTGCAAGGTTGATCCATATGGAACCTCTTCGTTCCGGTGGGGAGAATTTTGCAAGAGCTATCCGATTGTCAAACGGCCTCTTCATTGAAGTCCATGGTTCTGCTAATCCCGAATCCACCGAAAGGAAGTAGCAGAGCCGACCGGACCGGGGATGAGAGGCGAGAGCAAGCGGAGGTGAGGGTTTGAACCGGATGGATCTGGCTGGACGCACGGTGGGGCAGCCACCGCAAGGGGATTATTGACGGGCCGCAGGAGGAACGGTGGGCGAGATCATCATGCAGATTGCAGCCGGAAACGATCAGGAACCGACCTGGGGCAAATAAGCCAGGCGGTTGGGTAGTCCAGCGGATGGGTCAGGCGCCACCGGCGCCGTCAGGAAGGAAGCGGCAGGGAGCGCAATCGAGCCAGTGCGCTGCTGAACTGGGCTTCCCAGGGCCAGCCCCGGGGGAGGTGCAGGGTGAGGTGGCGGGCCTTGCGGGTGAGCCGTCCGGCCAGGGAGAAGAACCGCCGCCGGAGGGTCTTGGTGGTACTATCTGCTCACCGAGACCGATGCGCGCCGTCCAGCGGGCCAGATTATGCGCCAGCACCTGCACCGCCAGCCAGGCGCCGTTGGCGGCGAAGCGGCCCGAGGGGAGATGGTTCAGACCCACGCCGTACTTGAGGTCTCGGATGGCGTTCTCGATCTCGGCGTGGCGGCGATGGTCGGCCTCCAGTTCCAGGGTGTCCTCGTCCCGGTCGGTGATGAAGCCGTGATAGCTGTAGGAGGCGAAGAGGGCCAGTTGGGACCCGGGCGCGGGCTTCACCCGCCGGACGATGAGCCGCACCGGCGCGGCATCGGGCTCGCTACGGAAAGGTGTGTATTCAGCCTCGGCCACGTCGGCAGCACCGTCCATCCAATACGGGATGGGCCTCCACTCCGCGTCGGGTATGGCCTCGATGAGCTTGCGCAACTGGGCGTGCTGGCGCACGGTGATGGAGAAGCGGACCTTCATCTTGCGGCAGAGGGCGACGATGGAATGGGTGTAGAAGCCACTGTCGGCCCGCACTGTGAGTTGACCCCTGGCTCCGGCATAACGCACCCGGCCCAGTGTCTCCCGCAGGAAGTGGGCGGCGCCTCGAGCGGTGTTGGCGCGGCCCTCCCGCAGCCGGGCCATCAGGACGTCGCCGGTTCCGGCGGCCACGGCCAGCAGCGGGTGATAGCCCCGCTGGCCAGTGTAGCCATGATGACGGGCGCCCTCCTTGGCCAGGCCGTAGGTTTCGCAGATGGTGGAGTCCAGGTCGATGGTCAGGGGCAAGTCCCCGGGACCAGCCCCAGCGGCCCAGGCCCGGGCCAGCAGTTCCCGGCTCACCCGGTCCAACTGGCGCACGTGGCCCCAGCGAAAGCTGCGCAGGAAGGTGCCCAGAGCCTGCCCCCGCGAAGGCGGGGGGTGGACGGCGCCTTCACCGTGCCGCCCAGCACTGAGGAGGTCCGCCCCGCACGCAGCGCATCGGCGTCGTCAATGCAGTCGCCGCCCGCCAGCGCCGAGGCCACCAGCGTCATTATCTTGTCTCCCGCGTTCGCCCGCCCCGGCGCATCCCCCAGGTCGAGGTGACGGTCAACGAGTTCACGCAGGCCCAGGCGCTGGGCCAGAGTGGCCGGAAGGATCAGCCCGGCATTGTTGACCAGGCGGTGATCGTCGAAGGCGACGTGGATGCGGTCGGGGTGCTCAAGTGGTAGCATCTAAAAGGTGCTCCTTTTCCGGGGTCGGTTTTTGTTGCAAAACCATTATCCCAGATTCAGAGGAGCACCTTCTTGCCCCTTCAGGACGCTAACCTGCTCCACTCTTTCGGTGGATTGGGGCTAATACACAACGTAACAATGCTCAGTTTCTGTTAGGGTACTTTGAAGAGCAACTGCCGGCAGTCTCATTCAAGCTCGGTTAAGCAATACATTCTGGATGCCTCCAGCATAGCGTGAATAGAGGATCCACCTCATACTAAAGTGGCCTTTACCAGTATCCCATAAACCAAGGAGTCCTCCATGCGCGACACAGCTGCAGTAATTCACCGCAACGGCCAGGGCTCCCCCGATTACGTAATTGTCCTGACCTTCGAATTCAGCCAGGAATCCAACCAATGGGTTGGCCTCTGCCTTGAGTTAGGCACATCCACTTTCGGGGACACCCTGGAACAAACCCGACTGGAACTTCAGGAAGCTGTTGAGCTCCAACTGAACGAAGTGGAACGGCTTGGCTATATCGAAGACTATCTGGCCGAGAACCACGTGCGTGCTGTGCCTATAGATGCAGTTACGACCTCTGGATTCGCCGTGGCCGGGGACATACGGTAGGCCTGCTTGAACATCTCGGGCAGGGACTTGATGCGCCTGTTGGAACTCGACGGTTGGGTTCAGGGCGGCAGAAGGACACACGGCATCTTCTATTCTCGCAGTTTCCCAGGAGAGAGGTTCCCACGTTCCACCGTAATCCCTGACAAAACCGTGCCTTTACCTCCAACTACCCTTGGCGCAATTCTCAGCGTCAAACAGACGGGGTTAGGCCGAACTGGTCTGCAAGAGTTGGTTGAAAAGTATCGTTAGTCCCTCCCTCTTATCCGCGAATCCCTCCTCCTACAATGATATATAATGGCCCAAGCTTGTCTCTGGAGGCCTTCCACCCATGAAAGTCTACTACTTCAGCGAATTTCCCTACCATGAATACCCCGACGAGGAGGGCGAGAAGTTTCCCTCTCTGCGGCTGACCTTCCCCAATACCTACTTTGAACCGGAGACCGCCTCCGACCTGTTCAAGCGTTACTTTGACGAGTGCGTTTACGTGGACGAGATGGGCTTTGACGGCATCATGGTCAACGAGCACCACAACACGCCGTCGTGCATGAACGCCTCCTGCAACCTGTCCGCCGCCGTGCTGGCCCGCACCACCAAGCAGGCCAAAGATACTCCTGCTGGGCAACATTCTGCCCATCCACGACAACCCGGTTCGCCTGGCCGAAGAAATCGCCATGATCGACGTGATTTCCGGCGGGCGGGTCATCTCCGGCATGGTGCGGGGCACCGGCGTGGAGACCCTGTCTACCAACGGCAATCCCATGTACAACCGGGAGCGGTTCGAGGAATGCCACGACCTGGTAATCAAGACCTGGACTACCCCCGGACCCTTCCGCTGGGAGGGCAAGCACTACAACTTCCGGGTGGTCAACCCCTGGATGGTACCGGTGCAGAAGCCTCATCCCCCGGTGTGGGTGCCCGGCACGGCCAGTCCGGAGACTGCCCAGTGGGCCGCGCAGCACGGCTATACCTACGTAGCCTTCCTGACCCCCCTGGACGTTACCGAGGACCTGTTCCAGATTTACCGGACCACTGCCGCAGAAGAAGGTTACGAACCCACGCCCAACAACTTTGGCTACCTGCTGTGCTGCTACGTGGCGGACACCAAAGGAGGAGGCCGACGAGCAGGCGAGACACTTCCTCTGGCGCATGGGCACCACCACGCGAGGCCCCCGGGAGTACATGAATCCGGTGGGTTACCGCAGTCAGCAGGGCGAGCAGGTGGCGGCCCGTCGCGCCGTCCGTCCGTTGATTCAGCAGAGCTACGAGGAGCTAAACGAAAACTACCATATCGTGGCCGGCACTCCCGACACGGTGCTGGAGAAGATCAAGTACCTGCACGACCGGTTGGGGATGGAGCACCTGATCTTCTATGGCCAGGAGTCAAAGATGTCCCACGCCGCGACGATGAAAAACATCGGCCTGTTCGGCAAGGAAGTGCTGCCGGAAATACAGAAGTGGTAGGGGGAGGGGGGCGAGAGTAATCCCCGAGGGCAAGCTGCTATTGTCCCTTTCCCAGAGGGTCGCCGTAGTACCACCGTTCAATTATTTTAGTGGCAATGGCGGCGTTGGCGGCAGAGGCTTCGACTACGAATGCCTGCTTTACGTAGCAAAGCCTCCGTTCCAGGTCGCTGCATTTATCATCATGGATTGAGTTACTGAATTTCTCTTCCAGTTTTATGAATTTTTTGCTGGAAACTGTCAGAGCCCAGACCGTTTTCTAGCTCCTCGAAAAAGCCGCCGCCAAGAATGAATTCGCAGTTTGACCTGGACAGTATCAGTTCAGGCGCCTCGTCTTGGTCTTCCGGTTTGCTGGCATGCAGCTTGTCCAGTTCCTGCATATTTGGGACCAGGGTGCAGGATCCGATGCGATTGGTGACACGCCTGCCGGCAAGACGCTCGGTTTCCTTTCTCAAGACTTCGACACCCCCAGCGGTTAACCAGGACTCCCCGCCTCCCCAATGGAAGACTGCCGCCCAGTGAGCTAACGTCGTGAAGCTTTCCGCAGTTCTCCGGTCGTTGGCAATGACCATGCCCCCCCTTATTATTGAACTCCAACCGAGGAGCACGTCTGCCTGAAGCACTCCAGCGAATTGCCTGGGAAAGGGTTGACCCAGGTAATCTTCCTGGATCCGGAACACCTCCTCCAGCAGGTCCAATGTTCTAAAGGTGCCGGAGCTTGTATAGATGGCGGCCAGGGTTACCTCGCCAGCCCGGGGGAGCGTTACGACGCGCGTCTCCAGGTTGGATTGCTCGGGGTCAAGGATGGTATCCAATAACTCCAGGCGGTCTACTTTCAGCTCAAGATTATAGTGAAGGGCGCCGTGCAGGAAAGCTACAATTGTTGCCTCCTGGTCAGTGATACCATCCCGCAAGGAAGGATGGGACATGATTTCTTCAACCCTTGGCCCCAGGTTACCCCACGACTGTATGTGGGTTAATGCTCTGGTCGCCGCCACGTCAGTGGGCTCCACAGAATCCAGGAATGGCATCGAAACCATTTCAAGAACCATGGGGCCGTAGTCAAAGGCGTATCTTTCTTGCGACAATCCTCGTAAACGACGAACCAAACTGAATTCATACTCGCCCAGGCCGTCCCTTACCCAGGGTTTATCCAAGAGCCTGAGAAGAACAGGCTCTGACGTTCCGGCCAATTCCTTTAAGTGCAACACTTGCGTTTTCTCGGCGTCGGTCAACCCATCCCGTATCCATGGGAGATCGCCCATAGCGGCGGCGGACTCCGGAAACAGAACTTCCATATAGAGCCATTGACCGGTAAATCGGTCTTCTTCGGTGATGCCACCTTCCAGGTCAGGGTGAGAAACCAGTTCTGCAAATGCGTTCCGGTCGCGATTAAGCAGGTCAAACAGCATCTCCAGGGTTCCGTCGTCTTCCCTTTCCAAGTTAACCAGGAAGGGCATATCGATAATTTGAGAAGCTTCCCGGGGGTATCTTGACGTCATGTCTCGAAGGTTGGAAAAGGCCTCAAAACCTTCCCGGGTGAACTCTCCTTGCAGCCAGGGTCTGCTTACCAGGACAAGAAACATGGGTCTGTTCCTTTCTGACAGCTCTATCAGGTCCAGCACCGCACTTGTCTCAAATTTATTGACCGGATGGCGAACGTTGCTTACTTTGCTAAGATCTGCGTAGAAGATACCGTCTTTCACCCATTCCAAATCATTTATCAGCTGTGCGGCTTCGGGGTCAGTGCTCTCCAAATATAATAAGGAGACCTCAACTGCTTGCTGGTTTGTTATTCCCTCGCTGAAAGCGGGTCGAGAGAGGATAACCTCGATACCTTCCGGGTCCGTCCTGGAAATCTCGGTCAACCGCCTGATCGCCTCGCCGTCGGCCCATTCGATGGTTTCCATGAAAGGCATGTCTATGATGGTCAGGACCGCTTCCTCGTCGATTTCGGCCATGGAGATCAAGCGCCTGATAGTTGATACGTCCAGACCGGTTTGTGCCGGCATCCACTCTCGTTCATTCTCCAGCATGGCGTAAAAGAGACTTGGAGATTGCAGGGCCATTTGTTGCAGCAATGTCACCGTTTGGTTCTCATGCAGCTCAAGTCCGTCCTGAACCCATTCCAGTCCTGCTATTGTTTGTGATGACTCCCGGCTCTTTATTTCCAGGTAAAGCAGGGAGACTTGCTGGAGCGATCCTTCTCCGGGTTCCCCATGAATAGGCGGATACGAGAGCAGTTCTCTCAACCCTTCCGGGTCTGAGTCAATCAGGCCCAACAGGAATACGACGTTATCGCTGTCCCCCCACTCGATAGTGTCCAGGAAGGGCAACTTCGCCACCTGCAAAGCCACTGATTCATCCCTTGTGGCCATCCTGATTAAATAGCGGAGCACCAGGGGTTCTTCGTGGTGCACGTCATCTCTGTTCTCCCTCACCCACGGCCGGTCAATGATTTCTTCGAAGATTTGAGGGCTCACTCGGGCAAGGGTATTCAGGCCATTGAAGTGCCGTTGGTCAAAGGAGCTCACTCCATCCTCAACCCAAGGCAACGCCTTTATCATTGCCGCGTGTTTCGGATCAATTACCTTCGGAGGAATAGGTGTAGCCGTCGCTGTTGGCGTTGGCGTTGGCTCTGGCGTGGGCTCCGGTGTCGGTACCGGTGTTGGCGGTGGCGTGGCAGTGGGCATCACCGTCGGAGTCGGCGTGGGTGTCGGGTAGGGAGTCGCCGTAGGCTCTGGCGTAGGCGTTGAAGTCGGTGTTTGTGTGGGAGCCGTGGTTGGCGTGGGTGCCGGCGTCAGTGTGGGCGCTTCCGTGGGGATTGGCGTGCGAGTTGGAGTGGCTTGGGGTGTCGGCGTCGGCACAAAATCATCTGCCGACGGGGCGAGGATGGAACGGGAAGTTCGCGGAATCGGGAAAGAAGCGGGAGTAGGAAACCTGGTCGGCTCGGTGAGGGGTGTGGGCGAATCTATAACGATGCTCTGGTTAGCCACCGCCGGACTCGAAGCTGGGACCGGTGTCAGTGGTTCGCTGCAGGCCATAAGCAGGCCGGCTGCCAGCAAGGAAACCAGGACAGCCAGACCTGCTATGCGTAAACGTGCTTTCGAGAACAAAGCCAGCTTCTATTGCTCCTAAGGGGCAGTGTGGGCGTAAACGCTGTTGTTGGGCCCTGCGGAGTAGACCACCCCGTCTTTTACCGTGTAGCCACGGACATCTGAGAAACCGCCTTTCTCAAAGGCCCAGACCGGCTCGCCACTTTCTCCATCGGCGGCGATCAAAGTCCCCGAATCCGACTCGCCAAACAGCAGACCGTCCATTGCCGTCAGCGACTGGATAACCTGCCCGCCAGTGGACTCCTTCCAAAGCTCCTGTCCGGTTGCCACATCCAGCGCGAAGACGAACCCACCATCACCCGAAGCGCCGTACAGCACGCCTTCGGCAACCACCGGCGCCGTGGACAGCATGAACGACTCGTAGCTCCAAAGCTCTTCGCCAGTGGCGTCGTTTAGTGCGTACACATTGTTGCTGGGCGCCAGATAATAGACACCGTCGACCACCACGGCCGGAAAGTCCCGAGCGGGGAACTCCTCGGTGCTGACGCTCCAGATGATTTCTCCGGTCATTTCATTCAGGGCGTAGGGCGTGGTTGACCACCGTCAGGTAGACCACGCCGTCCAGCACAGTGGGATTGGACTCCACGTAGCTGCCCACGTCGGCTCGCCAGGCCACATCGCCGGTGGCGGCGTCCAGGGCGTAAAATGCGCCATAGGTAGCGCCGGCCACGTAGACATGGTTGCCGGAAACACTGGGGGTATAAGTGGGGTCGATACGGGCGGCCACGTCGGCGGCCCATTTGGTTTCTCCGGTGGCGGCGTCCAGGGCCACAACCTTCTGGCCTGCATCTCCCTGAACTGGCAGATAGACGGCTCCGTGGCCGACCTGCGTCGAGTACTGTACCCAGCCGCCGGTGTCGAAGCGCCAGAGCAGTTCTCCGGTTGCTGCGTCCAGGGCGTACAGGTGGTTGTCGTTGGAGCCGAAGTACACTTTCCCGTCAACGATGGTGGGAGTGGACCGGATTACGTCCCCGGTGGCATGACTCCACACCAGGTTTCCGGTTTGAGCATTCAGGGCATAGAGACTGTAATCGTCGGACCCGGCGTACACCATGCCTTCAGCCACTGCGGGCGCCGTCACTACCCATCCGCCGGTGGTAAAGGTCCAGAGACGGGTATCACTCTGAATGACGGTGTCGCCGCTAATGCCGTCGACGCCGGTGGGCCCACCGGACATGTTTTCGGCCAACTGCGGGACGCAGGCTACCATGCCCAGGCTGAAGGACAGCATCAGAAAACGCCTGTTCCTGGGTGGGTTCCGGTCCCATGGCGCTTGCCAGGTCCACGGGACTCATGGTGCCCAGCAAATCCCCCAGGCATATTTTCTGATCTTCGGTAAGCCCGGGGAACCGGGATGACAAGTCGGCCAGCAATATCGTCCGGGCTTGCTCGTCGGATATGCATTCCAGCACCGACACTGACTCGTTTTCCAGTCCTTGTAGCCCATAGGGTTGCCCCAGGATTGAATCAAGTCGCTCATCACCCACTTCGCCACGGATGCAGGACTGCTCTTCCTCGGAAAAGGTGTTGAACACGTCGCCCCAGGTGGTGTCAGGCTGGGCGAGGACTTCTTCCAAAGCTGCTGACCCGTCGCTTCCGTCGCCTTCGTCGTTTCCGTCGGATGCGGCGGTCTCCGGTGAACCGGTCGGGGCCATCCTTGGCGCCTGGGTGGGCGACGCTCGCACAATGGGCATAACAGGCACAGTGGCAGCAGTCTCAAGAGGTGAAGCGGGGTCCGATGTCATCGTTGACATGGTGTCGGCTGGAGTAACCAGCGGCACCGGGTCTAGGATTGTCGGTTCTGCCGGGACATCTGTTCCCGTAGCGGGTGTCGAGGTGGTCGGGGTGTTGGATGAGTTGGCAGCGGCCAATGGTGCCTCAGGTGCGGCCTCTGAACCACAGGCCGCCAGCGCTGTCAGCGAGAAAACGCTGACAAGTACCAGGCATGCAACGCGAAAACTACTGAATTTCCATTGTGGCAAAAAGGGCATTTTCATCCCCAGCCTCCCATCATTCATCCCCATTCTCCCATCAAGTCTATTCGCCCTCTAATTCACCTTAACATACGCCTGTTGGGACATACTACGCTGTATACTTGGAGAAAGTTGCAAAACTCCCGGGCGGGGATAAATCCGTCGGGAGCGTTGCTGATTTCGTCATTAGCGGCCTGGGATTTTCAGACAGGTCTTCGGGCTAATCCAGCCTTCCCACACTATCGCAATGGCGTCTTGAATTCGCTGCTCTATTGTCCACCGGGAGTCCGTTTGAGTCTCGGTGGTGGTGAATTGCGGTGGTGCAGCCCACGTCGCTGATGGCGCCTCTGAGCTTTGCGATGGCCAAGTGATGCCCCACGCCTGAGTGGCAGGGAGCCGCAACTGACCGAATTGGCCTTCCGGTTGCATGGCCCGACGGTTCCGGCGGAGGTTCAGTCGCTGGCCGGGTCCCATCCAGTTACAAGCGAGGAGCCCCGGCCAGTTTCAAGCGACAGGCCCCGGCCAGTTTCAAGCGAGAGGCCCCGGGGACTTTAGTTCCCGGGGCCCCCCGACTGGCTGGCGGCTGGTGTCTTTTGACCTGTTGCGGTGGGATCTTAGCTGTTTGATCAAAGCAGTTGACCGAATTTCCTCCGGCGCCATTCATGGTCTTCGGTATCTCGTTTGCTGGAATTGCAAGCCCGGCACAGTAGTTGGAGGTTACCTGGGAAGTTATCTCCACCGTTGCCTACAGGAGTGATATGGTCAATTGCAGCTTTCGCCAGGGAGTTGAATTCTCCTTTGCAACCGGGGCAGCGCCCGCCCTGGTGCAACCGGGGCAGCGCCCGCCCTGGCGGTCGTACTGTTCCTACTTCTATCCATGAGGAACAGGGATCAGGTTTTGAATGAGTCCCAAGTGGCGGGCGCGGCTTAGCATACCAGTCAGAAACTTTCGCTCTGGGCTGATATGCTCACCTCGCTCTCTGCTTTTTGCGCAGGTCCAGCATAGCACGGCGTTCGGATGTCGATTGGAGATGTCCATCTCGCACTCTCGGCAAAACCGTGGCATTCTCTGTTCCTTCTCCCATTCGGTAGGGTATCGTCCTCATCCCATTATGCCATGCGGCCCACGATTTCCACTGTCTTGACGCTGACGGTGCATACCCGCATCAGCAGGTCTATGACCTTTTCTTTGTAGTCGGCGAACTTGTAGGTGTTGAACCATTCAGCGATGGTGGGATCCTTTACCTTTTTCTCCTTGTACTGGTCTAAAATCCATTCCAGGGCCGAGCGCTGCCCAGTTGGTACTCCCACGCCTCGGGCGGAACGCCGCGCAGGATAGTCTTGTCGTCCAGGGCGATGGTCCCCCGGTCCTTGTCGGCCCGCAGGATTACCCGCTTCGGGTCGGTCTCCAGGTCCACCCGTTCCAGCGGATAGGGCTCGGCCTCCTCGAAGCCAGTTCTGCCAGCCAGTGGCCTGGTAGAGCGCCACCAACGCGGCCCGGTCGGTTTCGGTGCTGCTTGTGAGCATGGGCGCAGGGGTAGGGTCACTTCGCGAGGTGTATATAGCGAAACCTGGGTATGGTCATCGGAGGCACAAGATAATCCTCGACATTGGGCTTGACCAGGAAGTGCTTGTCCGGGTTGTTCCAAAGCAGCACCCAGGGAGCATCCTCCAGGATCATACGTTCAATCCGTTGGTAGAGTTCAATACGAGTGACCTGATCCCGTTCCACCCTAGCCTGCTCCAGCAGGGCATCCACTGCCGGATTGCTGTAGCCGGTGCTATTAGACTGGCTGTGGGAGTGAAACAGGATGTCCAGGAAGTTCTGCGGGTCCGGGTAGTCGGCGCCCCAGCCCAGGCGGAACATTTGATACCGTCTATCGTTCACGTCTTGCAGGAAGGTGGCCCATTCCGCATGCTGGACATCCACCTGGAACCCCAAATTCTCCTACCAGGTTAATAGAATGGCTCTGAGGTCTCTGGAAACTGCTGCACCCTGGCCACCGGAGATGCTGAGGGTCAGCCTTGGGAGGTTATCCAGATCGTTGCCATACCTGGATTCTGTCAGCAGTTGCAGGGCGCGTTCAGGGTTGTAGCGGTATGGGTACAGGTTCGGACTGTAACCTGGAAATCCTGGCGGCAGAATAGTCTTGCCGATGCCAACGGCTCCTCCGAACAGCACATCAGCCATGGTTCTTCTGTCTAGAACCAGGTTCAAAGCTTTCCGGACCTTGGGGTCGTCCAGTGGTGGCTCGTTGACGTTCAGGCCGATATAGCTGGTGCTGAAACCTGCGCTGTAGGTCTTCAATTGCGGGTTCAGCGAGTTGCCAGGGTCCATTATCCCTTCCAGGTTGAACGAGCCCAAGCTGCGAACCTGTATTTCATCGTTCTCGTAGAGTGTCAGAGATGATTGGTCACTGAGAATCATTTCCACTTCGTCCAGGTGCGGCGCTCCTAAGTGGTAGTGCTCATTGCGGGCCAACCGTATCTTCTCGCCCACCCGGTACTCGGCCAACCTGAACGGGCCGGTCCCATTGGGATTGCGGAGCCAGTCTTCGTTGCCCTCCACGTTAGCCCGGTCCAGGACAAACCCGGTGGAGTAGGACAGCTTGGCAAGGAAATAGGCTTTGGGAGCGTCAATAGTAATTTCTATCGTATGTTCGTCAATGACCTTGATGCCCTCAACATCGGCTGACTTGCCATCGAGCTTTTCGTGAACCCCAACGATGTCATCCAGATAGGTGTCGGCTACCGGAGAACGGGTCCCCGGATCGGTCACCCGTTCCAGCGACCACTTCACGTCCTGGGCCGTGACCGGCTTTCCGTCATGGAACCTGGCATCGGCACGCAGGTGGAAAGTGTAGAGCGTTCCATCTTCGCTGATGTCCCAGCCCTTCGCCAAGTCGGGCACCACCGAAAACTCGAAGGGCTCAATGGTTACCAGCCCACCGAATATCTCGTTGATCGGAACGCCGGAGATACTATCCTCAGCCAAGTGAGGGTCCAGGGTCGGCGGATCCTGGAACAGCAGCGTCAAAGTCCCCCCGTCGGTTGCCGCACCATTGCCGCTGTTGGCCGGTCGGGTGCCAGGGGCAAAGGATTCATCTACGGCTACCGGCTCAGCAGTGGCATCAGCATCAGGTTCAGCGGTAGGTGCAAAAAGAGTTCCAGGAGTGGGTAAAGCAGTAGGCAGAGCAGTCGGCACAGGGGTGGGCATAGTGGTCGGTGTAGCAGTAGGCGCAGTGGTGGGCATGATGGTCGGTGTAGCGGTAGGAGCAGGCGCGGTGGTCGGTGCAATTGTTGGCAAAGGGCTGGGCACGACCGTCGGTGGGAATGTGGACGCAGGGCTGTCCGCCGCAACAGTTACATTTGTAGATACATCAGGTGGGACTTCAGTGGGTTCCGCAACGGCGCTGCCGAGGGTCCCGTTGGAATCAGCTGGCGCAACGGTCTCGTCAGAACTACGGGAGAAGCATCCTACCAGGAAAAGACTGAGAATGGCTACGAGTATCAGGCTCTTACAACCCATATTTACCTTCCGGTTCAAAGTTATAGCGATTGCAATTTCATTCGGGCATTATAGCGTTTCTGGTCCAAAGGTTTGGGGTGAGTTACCTGGCCTGTAGCTATCTGGCGTGTCGGCGATTGGGTGAACAGAGGGATCCGGGTCGCCGTCAAGCCGGTCGGACCGGGACTCGTTGATAGTCTTCAGGGGGGGCGCCAAGAACCTCATGAATAGAGGCTGGTGCAGACTTGCCTTCTCCGCAGTCCTCAACTTCAGTCCCCTCTATCACCCATTCAGGTAGTTGGTAGCTTACCTCTGCCAAGGCTTATAGTGGTCGAGACGCCGCGGTGATTCTTAGCATTGGCGAAAGCGTCCTCTTGTGATTATGTAACACCTAACGATGCCAGGTCCTCCACCGGCAAGCCGTTACGCCCGCAGCTCCCCACGGTGGTACCTGGCCAGCCGTTTGCCGGTGAGTTGCGCCAGCCCCTAGTGTGGTGTAACTGAAGTCAGTTGTAATAGTATTCACGATGAGGTATCCTCCGGGTTAGCAATCCAGAGGAGGATGACCATGGCAATCGGACGACCAATGCCGCCGGTAATTTTGGATGAGGTGGAGCGTGAAGCCCTGGTACGGTGGGTTCGCCGTCCGAAAACGGCGCAAGCTTTGGCGCTGCGGGCCAGAATGATTTTGGGCTGTGCCGAAGGCCGCAGCAATACCGAGGTGGGCGCCGACCTGGGAGTGTCCGATGAGACGGTGGGGAAGTGGCGTTCCCGGTTCCTGGAACGGAGGCTGGACGGACTGTCGGACGAACCGCGCAGCGGACGGCCTCGAGCGGTTACCGATGACCACGTGGAGCGTGTGATTACGCTGACGCTGGAGACCACCCCCAAGGACGCGACCCACTGGAGCACCCGGTCCATGGCCCAGCGCAGCGGGCTGAGCCACAACACGGTCAGCCGCATCTGGCGGGCCTTCGGATTGCAGCCCCACCGCACGGAGACCTTCAAGTGTCGGCAGACCCCTTCTTCATCGAGAAGGTCAGGGACGTTGTGGGGCTATACCTCAACCCACCGGATCGGGCGTTGGTCCTGTGCGTGGACGAGAAGTCCCAGATCCAGGCGTTGGATCGCACCCGTCCGCTATTGCCCATGCGCCCGGGACAGGTGGAACGGCGCACCCATGATTACGTGGATTACCTGCGTCACGGCACCACTTCGCTGTTCGCCGCCTTGGACACCAGGACCGGCAAGGTGATTGGTCGTTGCCACCAACGGCACCGGGCCGTGGAGTTCCGCAAATTCCTCGATACCATCGAGGCCGAGGTGCCCGCCGACCTCGACGTCCACCTGATCGCGGACAACTACGCCACCCACAAGACGGCGCTGATCCGGAACTGGCTGGCCAAGCGGCCCCGCTTCCATATGCACTTCACACCCACCAGCGCCTCCTGGCTGAACCTGGTGGAGCGCTGGTTCGGTCTGCTCACCGAAAAGCAGTTGCGCCGTGGGGTGCATCAGAGCAGCGCCGAACTGGAGGCTGCCATCTACCGCTATCTGGACGTCACCAACGAAGATCCCAACCTTTTGTCTGGACCCAGACCGCCAACCAAATACTGGCCAACGTTGCCCGCTTTTGCCAACGTACTTTGGATACAGGACACTAGTCCACCATCACCCCGGTGGCCTTTCTGCCCGAACTGGGCCAGTGGGAAAGCAAGGCGCTGACCTCCCGGGTGGGCTTGGTACCCTGGTCATGGACAGGCGGCCGCAAACGGGGTCATAGAGCAATTCGCTGCGGAAAGGGCGTAGTCCGCAAAGCTCTGTACCTGCTCCGTGATCCAACTCGAGGGGGAGTTACGCCGATTCTATTGGAACCTGGGCCAGCGCGGGAAGCCCGGCAACGTGGCATTGGTGGGCGTGATGTGTAAGCTGCTGTTGCAGCTAAACGCTCTGGCGCAACGGGGAAAGCCTTAGGTGCCGTTGTCAACATAGGTGAACCTCGTTGGCAACTCTCTACAGGATAGAGTCCAGGCGTTTATCCTATTGGCGACTGGTATTCCGTTGAATTCCAGCTTTTGGTAGAACCTTTTCCCAACAATCCCCAGTTTGTTTGTTTCTGGAAGGAAAGCATATATGCATGGCAATGCTGACAATCAGTCCAGTTCGTTTTTCGAAGCCGATCAGCCCATTGAGCAGCCTGATTGCTTCATATTTGACCTTGTCTTTTCACGGGTTTAAAATCCGAAACTGAGACCCTGATTGCAACGAAGTCCGCTAAAACAGTTCCAGGGATTTATTGGATCATATTTAGTCTTAAGGGACATATTGCCCTTTTTGGTCTCACAGAACCGAAATGTTGAGGGAACGCAGATGAGCAAAAAGCTGAGGATTACATTATTCACTATCCTGATTTCCATGGGATTGACATTGGCTTGCGGCGCCGCCGAAGAACCCGCACCCGCGGTTCCGGCCAGCAGCGAGGGAGCAGCCGCCACTGCCGTGCCGGCCGCCGCCCCCACAGCGGAGCCTGTTGCCGCGCCAGAAACGTCAGCCCAGCCCAGCGATGACAAATACGGGGGCACGTTAAGAGTTCAGCTGCACTTGGACCCCACCGGCGTGGACCTGCATACTCCGCGAGGGGCGAGTTCCAGGGAGTTCTGGATCGCCCAGCCCGCCTTGAACTACCTGGTGACCGAAGAACTGGGGAATCCCGGAGTGATCGCTCCAGACCTCGCCGAAAGCTGGGACGTAACCCTGAACGATGATGGCACCGCCGACTGGACCTTTAATCTGGACCCCAGCGGCACGTGGCATAACGGCGAGTCCGTAACGGCGGAAGACATAAAGTTCAATTTCGACCGGGTGAAGAACCCTCCGGAAGGCCTGACCATTGGCCGGGCGCGGCCCGTGGGGACCTACTACGAAAATGTTGACGACGTTCAGATCGCCGGCAGCCAGATTACGGTCCACACCAGCACCAAGTCCCAGGGGTTCCTGGCGGCGGTGGCGCTGACCAACTTCCCCATTTTCAACAAGGCTGCCACCGAGGCCCTCCCGCAACCCCTTATCAGGAACTACGAAGAACTGGTGGGCAGCGGTCCGTTTATTCCCGAAGACTATGAGACCGGCGCTCGCTACTCCCTCACCCGTAACCCGTCCTACTGGGCCAACCCCGACCTGCCATACCTGGACGGAATCGAAGTCCTGATAATGGTGGACGAAGCCACCAGGCTGGCCGCCCTGCAAACCGGACAGGTGGACATCGCTTACCCGCAGCTGGCCGCATCACTTTACGTTCAATTGCAGGAAATGGACCACATGGTTACCAAGACTGTGCTGGGCGACGTTTCCCATTGGGACGTTCAGATGAACGAGGAGCGGGAGCCCTGGAACGACATTCGAGTGCGCCAGGCGGTAAGCCTGGGCATGAACCGGAACCGGGTGGGGGAGATCAGTGAGAGAGGATTCGGTTCGCCTTACGGAATCCTCTACCCGCCGGGCAGTCCCTACGCCCTCTCCATTGATGAAGTAAAGCTGTTGCCCGGTTTCGCCGAAGACAAGGAGGCGGAGTTTGAAGAAGCCCGCCGTCTGCTGGCCGAGTATTCCGAGGACACCGGCTACGACTTTACCCAGGAAATACCGATGCTTACCGAGAATCGGCCGTCAAACATTGAAGGCGCAACCCTGCTGATTCAACAGCTTTCCAACATCGGAATAACCGGCGGCGTCATGGACGTCCAGGAAGACGCCGTCACCGAAGAGCGCGAAATCGCCCATGATTTCAATATCATGATCCGCGGTTTTGGCGGGCCGGTGGAACCGGACCTGCACCTGCAAAACCAGTACGTTACCGATGGCGCCAGGAACTTCGGCGCCATGAGCCATCCCGAGATCGATCAACTGTATGAAGACCAGCGAAATGCCGAGACCCACGAAGAAAGGGTAGCCGTAATCCAGGAAATGGCCCGCAAGTTCTGGGAAGTCCAGGGAGGCTCGGTGCCCATGTGGTGGAGGGCCAGATTCCACGCCTTTAACGAGAGAGTCCAGGACTACAACCCGCAGTTGTCCTTTTCACCGGATACCGCAAATGTGGCCCACGTTTGGCTAGCGAAATAACAGGCAGTGACGTGTAGGTAACCGTTTGGAAGGTCTCAGGCCTTGGGCCCTGAGACCTTCCGTAGTTCAGGCGCCGAATTTATCCTCCCAGGACAAGTCTGAACCCAGCGCACAGGGGCAATGAAAACTTACTTGTTGAAAAGGCTGGGACTGGCGTTAATAGCCATAATCGGTTCCAGCATTCTGATTTTCTTCATCATGCGGGTGATACCCGGCGATCCCGTTTCTGCTTTGCTGGCGCAGGCAGAATTGGGCCTGACGAATGAAGAAAGAGATGCCATGCGCGCCCAGTTTGGCCTCGATCTGCCAATCTATCAGCAGTATCTGAAATGGGTATGGGACGTAGTACGGCTGGACCCGGGTATCAGCCTGGTACGCCAGAATCCGGTGCTGGAGAACTTTGGCAGAGCTTTTCCGGTTACCGCTGAGCTGACCATCATCAGTCTCATTTTTGTCGTAGTCTTCTCCCTCTTATTAGGAACCATCACCGCAGTGCGCCAGGATACCTGGCTGGACTATGTGGTTCGGATTACTGCCATTGGCGGCCTGGCAATTCCAGTGTTCTGGATCGGAATTATGGTGATCCTGGCCCTGTTGTTCTGGTTCAACTACACCAACCCCCTGGTGTACGTCCCATTCACCAGGGACCCGGTAACGAACTTGCAGCAATTCCTGCTGCCGGCGTTCATCGGATCCATTCGAAGCATAGCAATATGCGCCAGAATGGTGAGGTCTTCAATGCTGGACATACTGGACGAGGATTACGTCCGAACCGCCTATGCCAAGGGTTTGCGGGAAAGCGCGGTGGTTGTCAGGCATGCCCTCAAGAATGCCTTCATGCCGGTGGCGACCTTGTACGGCGTGACCCTGATTGGCCTGTTTAATGGTGTGGTGGTGGTGGAGGTCGTCTTCAACCTGCCCGGTTTGGGCCGGCTTCTGGTTGGCTCGGTGGCGGCGCGGGATTACCCCACTGTGCAGTTCCTGATCCTGGTATCGGTTATCTTCGCCAGCGTGATAAATCTCCTGGTGGACCTGACTTATGCAATGCTTGATCCCAGAATCAGGGTTTCCAATTGACCAGGCCACCCACGGTCAGCCTGCCGATCTAAACGTCACGATTAACGCAAGCAGTTACAAATGAATCAGAGCACCACACAACAAGAAACCGCAGGACTTGAGCATCGCCCCAGGAAGACGGGTCTTCTTCCCGGGTTGGTGTTCCTGGTACGTCGCAAACCACTGGGGGCCTTCGGGGGAGTCCTGGTCGTGCTCATGTTGCTGGTTGCGGCCTTTGCCGGCGTCCTGCAGAATTTCGATCCCGTCGAACCCCACTACGAAGACCGGCTGATCAACACCAATCCCACCTATTGGATGGGAACTGACCAGTTTGGGCGGGACATCTACAGCAGATTGCTGCACGGGACCCGTGTTTCCATTATCGTGGGCTTTTCCGCCGTCACCATTGCTTCGGTGGGGGGAGGCCTGATCGGAATTATCGTGGGGTATCGGGGCGGGGTGCTGGACCTGCTTGTCCAGCGGATCGTGGACATTCTGATGGCATTCCCCACCATAATAATGGCAATGGTGGTGGTGACCGCGCTGGGTACGTCCCTTTTCAGCCTGATATTCGCTATTGGGCTGGTACAGTCGCCCAACATATCAAGAATCACCCGCGCGGTCACTCTCAGCATCCGGGAGCGGGGCTACATTGACTCAGCCAAGGCCATCGGAGTAAGTGAACGCCGGTTGGTGCTTCGCCACATCCTGCCCAATACCATGTCTCCCTGGATCGTAATGGCGACGGCGGAACTGGGCACGGCAATCCTGACCGAATCCACGCTCAGCTTCCTGGGGATCGGCATACAGGAGCCCAATGCTTCTTTGGGCACCATGCTGACCGGACTGGCCCAGCAATACCGTAATGAGGCCCCCTGGATGGTAATCTGGCCCGGGATAGCGATCAGCATCGTAGTTTTTGGGCTGAATATGTTCGGGGACGCCATCCGGGATTTGCTGGACCCTCGCCAAAGGGGCCGCTGAGGATCCGTAGAAAGTCATTCTGGAGTTATGAACCGGTTTTGACTTCGCCTGGTAAGGACCGGCGACCTTGAACCCGAGTGGGCTGGACATCTACGAGTAAGTTATCAGGAGCGTATCCGCGCTGACTACAAGGTTTCAGATATCTTTAGCGGAGTTGATTCCCAGACCGCTTGCAATCGCGCACGGTCTTTTCTCGATAGAATCCGTCTGCACCTGGGCAACGCTGTTCCACCTGCGTCTTCCCCGTCAAGCCCATAGACGTTAGGCGCAGTTTTGACCTCGTATTTACACTGGCCTGACTAAAGGGGCCCAATGACTACCACCTCCAACAGGAAAATTGCCGTGGTTGGCACCGGCGGCACCGGCAGCGTTATTGGCGGAATGCTTACCGTGGCCGGCCACGACGTTGTAATGATTGACCAGTGGGGCGCCCACGTGGAGGCGATGAAGGCCAGCGGCCTGCATATGTCCATCGCCGGCGAGGAGTTCAACGCGGCGGTGCGCGCCCTCCATCTGTACGAGGTGTGCAACCTGGAAGGCGCCTTTGACATCGTTTTCCTGGCCTGCAAGTCCTACGATACCCTGTGGCTGACCCAGTTGATCCTGCCCTACCTGAAGGATGACGGGGTGCTGGTGTCAACCCAGAACAGCCTCAACGACGAGTGGATTGCCCCGGTCGTTGGCCCCACCCGGGACATCGGTTGTGTACTCACCATGTCTTCCGAGGTTTTCGAGCCGGGCCATCTCAAGCGCAACACGGCCATGGACCGCACCACCTTCGTCCTTGGGGAGTTGCACGGCCGCATCACCCCCAGGCTCCAGGAGTTGCAGGGCATCCTCAGCGCGGCGGGCAAGACGGAGTTGACTACCAACCTGTGGGGAACAAGGTGGTCCAAGCTGGTCTTCAACTGCGTCGTGGCTCCGGTCTGCGCCCTGGCCGGCGTGGGACCGGCCCACCTGACCGGGGCTCCGGAGCGGGTGCGAGTTTGCCTGGAACTGGGACGGGAAGCGCTGCTGGTGGGTCAAGCCCAGGGTTACAGCATGGAACCGGTGTTTGGCCTTTCCATCGAGGAGGCCGCCGCGTCGCCCGAAGCCATGATTGAAAATCTGGTGAAGGCGTCCCAGGCTGAGGGACGGGAGGCCAGGTCTTTCTTCCACCAGGACATTCTCAAGGGCCGCAAGACCGAAGTTGACTACATCAACGGACTGGTGGCCCGCAAGGGGCGCGAAAGCGGAGTGCCTACGCCCATGAACGACGCCGCGGTAACCATGGTAAAGCGCCTGGAAAGGGGCGAGATGGGGCCTGACCCGGCCAACATCGGGCAGCTGGAACTGGTGGCGCAAGGGTTGGAGTAGCACGCCTAAGATGTAATTACTAACATTACGAAACGCAAATAAATGAGGCATTCCGATCGGAATGCCTCGCCACTACTAAAGCCTCTTTTCCCTAGAAAAGAGGCTTTAGCTTTTATTGAATGATACTTTACATTGCGAAACAGCATGATATAATAAACTATATTAAGCGCACACTCTCAATAATATATTTTAATGTTTGAGGGTCTGTCGCCAAAATAAAGCGAGGGAGCTGATCCAAATGGAATGGGCGATTACCAACGAAGACTTGTCGCATCCCGAAAAAAGCGGAGTTATTCGGTTCATCGAGCGGATGGAACGGGACCTGCGAAACTGGGGCACCCCCATCGAAGGTTTCCAGTTCCTGAATTCTGCTCTGGAAATGCTGCGCTTCAGTCGGGAGATCGAAGATGAGGTGCTGGCCCATCCCGAAGGCTCGGACCTCTACGTTGGTTTCCAGCACACGGAAAAACTGCTGGGCGAACAGTTGCGCTACCGGCACATTCTGGACTCGGGAATCAGGATAGTCGGTTTCGGAGAAGGGGAAGCGCCCGATTTCCTGGCCGACACCGCAGCCGAGTGGGTGTCTCTGCCCAGAGACCATCACCTGTTGCTGAACCAGTGGTTCCTGGTTTCCACGGCGCCGGATCCTATCGCCTTTGTGGGGTGGGAGACTTCCCCGGACGACCAGTTTGGAGTTGGCGGAGTCTCTGCGGAGGGGAAGAGCTTCGAAGGGTTTGTTACCGCCGATCCCCGGATCATTACGGCCCTGGTGGAATACCTGGACGAGGTGCGGGAGGGACACAGGAAACAGAAAGCTGATGTCGATCAACTGGCTTGCGAGCTGCCTCCTGGCCTGGCCTTTGAAGTGGAAGATGATGCAGTGCCGGTGATGATGGGCCGAGATCATTCAGGCTTGCGCCTGGCCGAACCAGCCCAGCGAATCCTGGCAGTGACCGATCTGCACGGGTCTGCGGAGTACAACGCCCTGCGGGGCTGGGCCACCGAACTGGCCATCGCCAACGCAAGCCAACTGGTACTGTTCGAGATGTCCGCCGCCGCCTGCCTGGTGACCCCCTATCCGGAGGAACACCGGAAGCAGTGGCAGCGAATCCTGAACTGGCGGGACCTGCTTCCCCTGGGCCGCGCCCCCCTGGCCCGTCAGTTGGCCAGGATCCAGGCCCGGGGGATTGAGGCTGGCGCCATCCTGCCCACGACCCACGGCTTCAAGCACCTGGCCCACTGGGTGGAGCAGGAAAATATCGACCTGATACTGCTGCCCAATTCGCTGGTACGGCCCGGCCGGCTGGCCCGGCTGCGCGGCTACAGCCTCAGGTCGCTGCTGGAACACACCAACTGCCGCGTAATGGTGGTGGCCGCCAACGGAACTATGTGTGTCGCCAAAGCTGAGGATGACCTTGCCGACGCCGGCTTGAACCACCGGATGGTCGGCCGGCTGGTGGCCTAGCCCTTGGGCGAAAGCTGCCAGGTAAATGGGGGACAAGCCGATATGCGCCCTCGGTATCGGTGAGGCCTCCAAGGACCGCCCGGCCTGTTGGCCGGGCGGTTGCTTTTTTCATTTCCTGGCCCAAGGCATTCCTAATCGCACTCTTGCCCCTGTGTTACAATTTCCCCAGATATGACGTCCGACAGCAATGCAACCTCCATCGCCGACCCCCTGGCTAACCTGCTACCCGGGCAATACCTGGGTCCCGAGGCGCTGGTTCGGTTACTTAATCATTGCGGGCCGGACTCCTCAAGAGCCGGCGCTGACGAATACGCTTCTCTCTACCTGACTGCCCAGGGACTTGGTGAATTGCTCGACACCAAAGACCCCGTGCTCCGCGAGTGGCGCCGGTTTCTCGCTCCTGCGCTGGACGGCCCGGGCGGTGATGCTTTTGCTCAAGTCGGATACCGGGCTGGTGGCGTTTCGACAGGTCGAGCGGGTCCTTGCTATCGTCCCGCCCTTTCCCTTGACGGAACAGGCAGCCAGCGAAGGCTGGAATGCGGGCCCACTGCTAGATATGCTGACCACCGACTACACCGTGGGGGTGGTACTGTTGCGGCTGGGACGCTACCTGGTAGCCGTCTTTCGCGGGACTGAGCCCGTGGTTACCAAGACCGATACCCGCTACGTAAAGGGGAAGCACCACGCCGGCGGCACCTCGCAACTCCGGTTCAAGCGCATCCGCGAAGGGCAGATGCGCAAGCTCTTCGACGAGGCATGCGGAGTGGTGGGCAGCCGTTTTGAACCCCACGATCGGGAGATGGACTACATCCTGCTGGGCGGCGAAAAGCTGACCCTTAGCGGCTTCATGAAGGTCTGCCCCTATTTGCAGCGGCGCCAGAAGCTTATCCTGGACCGGCGGCTGAACATCCGAGACCCCAAGCACGACACCCTGGAAACGGTGGCGGGAATGTTGCGTCAAAGCAGGGTGTGGGCCGTCGGACAGTAAGACTGGCGTCCAGAAAAGCTAATGTAGTTATGGTGAGAGTTGAATAGTTACCCCTATAGCACAACTGCGGCTACTGCCCTGGGCGGGCTTTGCCCGGGCGCAGCACCTGCTGGAGTTCGACCAGATTCGGCAGCGGCTGGCCGGATACGCCCGTACCGTGCTGGGCCGGGAGTGTGCCCTGGACCTGGAACCGGTCAGCGACGCCCTGGAAATCGGTTCCCGACTTCAGGAGACTTACGAAGCCCGGCTTTTTCTGGACAACGGCGGCAGCCTGGAGTTTGGCCCCGGCGCCGACCTGCGGGAGTACGTGCAACGGGCCATGCTGGGCGGCACCCTGCGTGGCGAGGAACTGCACCAGATTCAGCAACTGGCCGAGGCCGCCGGTTTCAGCCGCAATGCTCTCCACCGCAGGGAAGACCTGCCTCTGCTGGCAGGGATGGCCGCCAACATCCCTGACCTGAGTGACCTGGCACAGGCCATCCGCCGGGCCATCAGTCCCGCCGGAGAGATTCTGGACGACGCCAGCCCCGAACTGCGGCAGTTGCGCCGTGAGTCCCGTTCCGCCTACCAGCAGCTTAACGAGGTAATGCAACGCAGCCTCCGTCGCTACCAGCAGCGGGCGGTGGTGCAGGAGCCCATCATCACCCAGCGCAACGGACGCCTGGTGCTGTTGATCAAGGCCGAGCACAAATCCCAGACCCCTGGCATCGTCCACGACGTTTCCGACAGCGGGGCAACTGTATTTATCGAGCCCCTGCCCGCCATTGAGACGGGCAACCGCTGGCGGGAGACCCGCCTGGCCGAGGAGCGGGAAGAAGAACGGGTCCTGCGGGCGCTGGCATCCCGGATAGGGGACGCCGGTCCGGACTTACAACTGGCCCTGGACTTGCTGGCTCGCCTGGACCTGTCCATGGCCAAAGGCCGCTACTCCGCCGACCGGCATGCGGTAGCCCCTGTGATTATCTCGCCTCCACGCCCCGCGCCCACCTCCCCGGGTAATCGAACGGGAAGGTCAGGTTTCTCCGAGAAAGACAATACTCCCCTCTCTCCCCCAGGGATATGGTCCGGGGGTGAGGACACCCGGGCTAGAGGCGAAGACGCTCGTCGTGAAGGTACTCCCGCCGCTCATGGTGAGTCTGTCGAACCACGCCTCCGTCTCTCCGGCGCCCGCCATCCCCTGCTAACCGAGCGGGTGGTGCCAATCAGTGTGGAATTGGGCGGGAACAGCGGGGTGATGGTCGTCACGGGCCCCAACGCGGGTGGCAAGACGGTGGCCCTCAAGACCGTCGGCCTGTTGGCGTTGATGGCTCATGCTGGCCTGCACGTCCCCGCCGAGGCGGCTGAATTCCCCCTGCTGGATGGCATCTATGTAGATATCGGCGACCAGCAGAGCATCGAACAGTCCCTGTCCACCTTCAGTTCCCATATCCAGAACCTGCGCTCTATTCTGGACCAGGTAACGCCCCATTCCCTGGTGCTGATTGACGAACTGGGTACCAGCACCGATCCCGAGGAGGGAGCTGCCCTGGCCCAGGCTATCCTGGGGCACTTGAGTCAACGCGGCGTCATGACCGTCGCTACCACCCACCACCGGGGTGTGGCTCGCTACGTTCAGGAGCAGGCGGGTATGGTCAATGCCAGCGTTGACCTGGACCCCGGCACCCTGGAACCCACCTACCGGATTACCCTGGGCCTCCCTGGCCGCAGCTACGCCCTGACCATTGCTGACCGCCTGGGCCTTGCCCCGGAAATTCTGGAGGAAGCCCGTTCCCTGATCTCACCGACCTTGCGGGCTACTGATGATCTGGTACAGGAGTTGCAGGAAGAACGGGCTGTGGTGGCCCAGATTCGGCAGGAATCGGAAGAGTTGCTGGCCCAAGCCCGCGCCCAGCAGGCGGAGACTGAAGCCAGGCTGGCCACCGTGGAATCTTCAAGGCTGGAGTTGGTGGAAGAGGCCCGCCAGGATTTGCAGGCGCGTATCGGTGGTCTTCTGGCGCAACTTCAACAGGCCGAGCGCGCCGCCGAACTGGCCGAGGCCGAACAGGCTGCCCGCCGTCTCATGCGGCCGGCCGCCGGTTCCAACGCCGGCAATGCAAGCGGAGCCTCAGCGGCCAGCAGGTTCCGGGAATACCAGGATGAGTTGGCCCAGGCGCAAAAAGAACTTAGCTCCACCCAATGGGAACCCATTGAGGTGCAGCGGACTCCCTGGCAGGAAGAACTGCGCAGCGGGGACCGGGTGTATATCCGGGGCATCCCCCGACCGGTGGAGGTTATTTCGCCCCAGGATGACGACGAGAACATCGAGGTGCTTCTGGGCACCATGCGCGCCCGGATCCCGGTGTACCAGTTGGAACGTCCTGCGGAGTCAGGCCTCAGGCCTGAAATCAACCCGACGACCGGGGTGGCAGCCCCAACCGTCACCCCCGGAGACGGCAGGTCGGAACCCGCTCCGAATGGTATAGACCCCAACACTCCCGGAGTTCGTTTCCGCCACAACCGGGACGCCGGCGTCTATTACCGCCGTCCCTCGCCGCGCCAGGTAAAGTCCGAGCTGGACCTGCGCGGCCATCGGGTCGACGAGGCGCTGGACAAGGTGGAGACTCTGCTCAACGAGGCGGCCCTCAGCGGCGTGGCCGAGGTTCGCATTATTCACGGACGGGGCACCGGCGCCCTGCGCCGGGCCGTAAGAGAGTACCTGAAAGGCCACCCCCTGACCTCGTCGTACGGCTCAGCCGACGAAGGCGCCAACGACGGGGTAACGGTGGTAGAACTGAAGTAAATTACGAATTGCGAATTGGCAATTACGAATGTGCCTTTCTGTAGGGAAGCTTATACAAAAGCCATACTCTTTTTAAGTGGGGAAGAAACTCGCACACCCAAGAACGGTAGCAAGCAACCCCCCTATTTCAATGCGTAATTCCTAATTCGTAATTGTCAATTACCGGAGGCACAGTGGCTGAGGAACCGCAACTGACACCGCAGGAACGCCGCCAAAGGGCCCTGGTACGTTTGGACGGCGGTCGCCAAGCCCTGCGCCAGGCGTTGGAGGATGTGGATGCCGAGGATGCTTTTCTTGGGTCCCGCTGGTCGGTGTGGGAAGTGCTGAAGCACCTGGACGCCGAGAGTTTCGTGGAGGCGCTGGAGAAAATCGCCATTGGCGAAATGGAGATGCTGCCCCCCTTTACCAGCCGCGAGGAACGGTTGCGCCAGGACATAGAACACCTGGAAGCTACTTACGACCGGCTGCGGGCCGTCATCGAGGGCCTTAGCGAGGAACAACTGGCCAGGCCGGTAACGCCGCCCAATCCCGTCAATTCCTTCCCGGGCCTTACCATGCTGGAACTGGTGGAGCGGTCCTCCGGCCACGCCGCCACCCACGCTCACCAGATCGAGTTGACCCGCAAGTACGTTGCCGAGTTCAATGCCCGGGAAAAGACGGTTACCGTGGTAGCTCTCGGCTCCGGGGACATCGACGCGGTACCGCTGCGAGTCAAGGAACTGGTAGCCTTTGCCGACTACACGGCAGGAGAGGCCGCTGTCCTGGAACTGGTAAAACCGTGGATTCGGGGGCTGGAAGCTGTCATTCGCCCCGGCAATTTGGAAGAGGTGGTTTCCCGCATGGGCCGCGAAGCCCGGGCCGGTCTGTGGACAGTCATTTGTGTCCTGGGAGATGACCCAGCCGCGGATTATCCTGAGTTAATGGGGCTGGCGAGCAACCATTGCGACAAGGTAGTGGTTTTGGCGTAAGATTCGTTCCCCCCCTGCTGCTGAGGGGACCTTACGGGTGGGCACATTGCCATATGTGCTTATTCGTGCCGATTCTCGTGAATAAGGCGGAATTAACAGCGTCCTGATAGCGTCCGTTTGCCCAACCACCTCCTTTTTGCTACACTAGCGCCATCAGCCGCCCCCTAGCTGAGGGGGCAGGCTCAGCATTTGAAAATAAGGAGAGTCTATGATTTACGAAGTTCGTACCTATGACATGAAGCCGGGCAGCGTAGCCATGTTCGAGGAAAACTTTGGGAACGCCCTGCCGGCGCGCCAGGAAGTATCCCCGCTGGCTGCATTCTTCCACACCGATATAGGTCCCCTGAACCAGGTCATACACATTTGGCCTTACGATAGCGAGGATCACCGCGAAGAGTGCCGCGCCGTCTCCATTGAGGGCTGGCCCCCGCAAAACGGCGGCAACATCCTCAACATGGACTCGCAGATCTGGAACCCCGCCGAGTTTATGACTCCTATGGGCGACCGGGAACTGGGCAACATTTACGAAATGCGGATTTACACCTACCAGGAAGGCTCCAAGGACGAAGTTCTGAGCCGCTGGTCCAATGCCATCAGCCACCGGGAGCAGTATTCCCCGCTGGCCGCCGGAATGTACAGCGACCTGGAGGACGGCACCTTCCAGTGGATGCACGTCTGGCCCTACGAGGACCTGGCTGCCCGTGGCCGCGTCCGTTCCGAGGCCGGCGAGAACCCCAACTGGCCCCCGCCGACCCGCGAGTTCCTGGTGAAGCAGGAAAACAAGATCGTAATCCCCGCGTCCTTCTCCCCCATGCACTAGAACCGGTGGGCGACCGCAAGGGTTGCCCCTGGAAATTCGATTGATAACGTAGGGGCGTCCCATGTGGGCGCCCTTACCTGGTTTTAGCGCCGACACCCCAAGACAAGCAAGGGAGGCCACCATGCAGTCCAACGAGGCGGAAATTGAAGCGGTCAAACAGGCCAACCAGAGGTTCTACGACGCCTTTGGCGCGCTGGACGTGGCGGCCCTGGACGAAATCTGTGTAGACTCGGAGGAGGCGCTGTGCATCCACCCCGGCTGGCAGCCCCTGGTAGGGTGGGAGACTATACGGGAAAGCTGGCGGCGCATCTTCAACAACACTACCTTGATGCACTTCAACATTCGCTATATAAACGTGGTGGTGGAAGGCGACTGCGGGTGGGTTACCTGCGTGGAGGGTATTACCAGCGTCCTTCAAGGTCGGGCCGACAACTTCGGGGTGCTGGCCACCAATATCTTCGTGAGGACGTCGACGGGCTGGCGGATGATTGCGCACCATGCCTCGCCGGGGATGTAGGGGGGAAACGTAAAAGGCGCCTGATAGAAGGACTGGTAAAGATAGGACAGTAAAGTCCGAATATAAGCTTTCCTGGGTTAAGTGGCTCGAGTCAATAGGACGAAAAGTCCTCCGATTAGGGAAGCGACTACCCCACCCCCGATTATCCACTGGGTAACAAATATCTGACGTTGCCCAGTACGCACTTCCTGCAACCCTGCATCTATTCTGTGGCTCAACTCCTGGTGCACCGTGTCCATACGGCGACTCAGTTCCTGATGAACCACGTCTATCCGACGACTCAACTCCTGCTGGCCGGCTTTAAGATCTTGAAGAGCAACTGATTGCTCTTCAAGCCGTCCTTCCAGATAGCCCTGAGGGCGGTCAGGTTCCTGATCTAATGTCGTCATGCCTTGGTCTCCCCGTTTCCCCTATACCACCCAAGGGCGGAATGTGCCATAATCTTGCCAGTTGCGCGCCATTATATGCACCGGTATCAAAACATTCTACTCTGCGATACGAGGGAACTACTGTTTGGAGGTGAGCCATGGGACTGCTTAAAATTGAAGGCGTTACCCACTGGTCTATCCCGGTAAACAACCTGGACGAGGCAGAGGCTTTCTACGGCGAATTCCTGGGCCTCGAAGCCAAAGGCAGATTGGGCAACTCGCGGATGTCCTGCTTCAACGTGGGCGACCATAATATCCTGCTCTGCGAGCTTGACGAACCCACCCAACAAGCATCCCAGCGGGACCGGAAGGTACACCATTCCTTTACCGTCACCCCGGAAACCTTCGAAGAAGCCTGCCGTCTGTTCAAGGAGCGCAGCATCCCCATAGACGAACTGACTTACCGGGAGCGTGGCTTCTTCACCGGCAGGGAGTTGTACTTCTTCGACCCCAGCGGCAACCGCCTGGAACTGCGCGACCCCAACTGGGAAGCGGGAATGCCCACTCCGGCATTCGAGGACATCAGGTAGGGCCATTGCGCCTGCCATATTCAACCCCGCAACTGAAGCCCCACAACTAAAGGAGGAACCACCATGCCCTATTCCATCAACCACGTTCACATCCGCGCGGCCGATCCCCATGCCTCGGCGGCCTGGTACGAGAAATACTTCGAGGCCAAGAAGGTATCGGAACGGGAAGTCATGCCGGGCACCATCACCATCGGCATGGAAGTTGGCGGCCCCACCCGGCTGAACGTATCTTCCAAGCCTGTGGGATCCTCCGACGAACCGGCCGTTGCTGAGCTGAACCGCCTTGGCCTGGAGCATTTCGGGTTCCACGTTGATGATCTGGAAGCTGAGCTGGCCAAGTTCGAGGCCGACGGCATCCGTGTCGTCCTGCCCCTTACCGAAGTGACGGGCGGCACCAAGCTGGCCTATATTGAGGGCCCTGATGACGTACTGATTGAACTGGTGCAACCGGCTGCCTAGCTAGATAAGGCACGTCACGGTTGCTCCTGTCAGATACCGTGGCTGTAGGGGAAGGTCTTGTGCCTGCCCTGGTTCAAGTTCGATAACAATCGTCCATCACCTGATCGATTAAGAGGAAGAACATGGTCGAAATCACGGAACGCCTATGGGACTTTGATGCCGTGGAACAGGGGCAGTCCGCGCAGCCCACGGTGGTTACCATCACTGCGGAGCAGATAGCCGAGTACGCGGACATTGCCCAGAACCCCGACGTCCGCTTCCGGCTGGGCGGCGGCAGCGGCGAATACAGCGGCGCCCCGGTACCCATGCCCACCATGGCCGTGTCCTACGCGCCGTTGCTGCGGGCCGAGATCGCCGAGAACAACGGGTTCATCGCCCTGGAGCAGTCGAAAACCGCCCGCCGCCAGACTCCCTTTGCCAAGTGCGAGGCCCGCTGGTTCCGGCCTGCCCTGGTCGGCGACACCATTACCGGCGTGGGGCAGGTGCTGGAAAAGTACGAGAGGCGGGGCAGCAAGTTTGTCACCTTTCGCATCGAGGCCGAAAATCAGCGTGGCGAACCGGTGGGGCAGTACGACTACACCTGCATCTTCGAGTATGCCCAGGGGCAGCGGGAAGTGCCTCCCGAACCTGGTATGGCGCAGCCACCGCGGGTGGAACAGGCAGCAGCTAAATCCGCACCGTCCCGGCTGCTGACCTTCGACGCCGTGCAGGTCGGCGACACCCTGGCCGAACTGTCCATCACCGAGAGCCAGGAAATCATCAACCGAAAGAGCGAATTCCGCCTGGCTGGCAAGCCCAGCGAAAGCAACATCCACAACGACGAGGAGTTCGCCCGCCAGAACATCTTCGGCGGCACGGTCAACGCCGGCCCTGCCACCATGTCCTACGTGGACCAGATGCTGGAACTCTCCTTCCCCCTCAAAACCTTCTACAACGGGGGCAGCCTGCTGATGCGGGCCATCACCCCCTTCCGCTCTGGAGACACGGTAGCCTTCGGCGGCGAAATCACCGGCAAGCGCGAAGAGAATAACCTCGGTTTGGTGGAGTGCCGTGTAAAGGGCATCAACCAGAGGGGCGACCTGGTATGCCTGGCCGACGCGGTAATGGTGTTTGGGAGGTAGCAGGCCGCGATCCTGGTCTCCCATAGCCAGAATCATGTAGGGGCAGCCCTTGTGGCTGCCCTGTTTACTGCCCAAATTCCCCCTCTAACCCCTTGACACTCAGTATTACCATTGGTCAACCTTATAAGAACGTATGTTCTTACACCTTGTTAAAGGAGGTTGCCCAAATGCTCATCAAGCGCACTCCGGATGTTTACGAAAAAATCAGGATCCTCGGCGGCATGGCCGGCGATGACGTGCTGGCCCCGTCTCAAACCAGTTCCAAACAAAGTAGCCAGGGCAAGTGGGTCGGCAAGGGCATTACTGGCCCCTACTCCGCACCGGACAAGCGCCCCCTGGCCGGCGTGTACCGCGCCTCCATGCCCAACGGCAAGTTCATGAACCTGATGCGGGTGATGTTCACCGACTTCTGCATGATGGACTGCGCCTACTGCCCCAACAGCGTCTACGTCCCCCGCAAGCGCTACGCCTTCAAGGTGGATGAACTGGCCAGCGCCTTCATGGAACTGCACCGCCGCCATACCGTCGCCGGTCTGTTCCTAAGCTCAGGCATCGCCGGCAGCGGGTCCAAGACCACCGAGCGCATGGTACAGGTGGTGGAGGTCCTGCGCCGCAAGCACGGTTTCAAGGGCTATGTGCATCTCAAGGTGATGCCTGGCGCTGAGTACCAGTACGTGGAGGCGGCCCACCGCCTGGGCACCCGCCTGTCCGTCAATATCGAGACCCCTACCGCCGAGGCCATGAAGCGCATCAGCCCCCACAAGGACTTCGAGAACGGCATCCTGGCTCCCATGTCCTGGATTAATAACCTGACCCAGCACAGCAGCGGCGGCGCGGTGGGGCAGGCCACCCAGTTCGTGGTGGGCGCCGCTGAGGAGTCCGACGCCGACATTTTCAAACGGGTGGACCAGCTTTACGGCGACTGGAACCTGAAGCGGGTCTATTACGCTGCTTTCCGGCCCGCCTCCGACACTCCCATGGAGGAGCACCCGCCGGTGCCGCCCATGCGGGAACACCGTCTCTACCAGATGGACTGGCTCAAGCGCATCTACCGATATTCCAACGATGAACTGGACCTGGCCTTCGATGGCGGCGGCTTCCTGCCACTGGACGAAGACCCCAAGACGGCTATCGCCCTGGAAAACCTGGAAGCCTTTCCCGTAGACCTGAACACGGCCAGCCAGGAACTTCTGCTGCGCGTCCCCGGCCTGGGCCCCACCTCGGCCCAGCGCATCATCGACAACCGCAGCCAGCACAGCATTGATAACTGGCGCGACCTGCAGGCCATGGGAGTAGTGCGCAAGCGGGCCTGGCCCTTCGTAGTCTTCCCCGGCCAGCGCCCACCCTCCGGCAAACAAATGCGCCTCGACCTGTTTCCGGAAGGAGCCAAGGAGATTGTCCCATCCGGCCCGTTATCTGTCAGTGCTGGTGGGTCGGCTCCTTGCGGGCTCGCGTCATCATGCGACGGCTGCGCGTTGAAGGGAATGCCGGGGCACCCGGGGTAGGGGAAGAGTTAGAGGAGTGTAAGTGCCTCGTCTGGCAGGACTACCTGAAATTGGTAGGTTTCCGTTATGCCGGAAGATTGAAGGTCTTGGATTAGGGGATTATCGGTGGTAACCAAGATAGCTCCGGTGTCCACAGCCAGACCGGCGATCTCCTTCATCTCTGGCTGCCTTGCCCGAATCCACCGAAGGACGTGGGAATAAGAGGTGCTGAGGGGTAAGATGTTGGCTCCCCTGAATCTGGGCTCATGGTTTTTGATCGGAAAACCGACCCCGCGGACAAGGAGCACTTTTGAGATGCTACCACTTGGGCACCCCGACCGCATCCACAATCGCCTCGACGATCCACCGCCTGGTCAACAATGCCGGGCTGATCCTTCCGGCCATCCTGGCCCAGCACCTGGGCTTACCCCAACTGGTTGACCGGTATTTGGACCTGGGCCGGGCCCCAGGCCGAGCCAACACCGGCGACAAGATAATGACGCTGGTGGCCTCCGCCCTGGCTGGTGGCGACTGCATTGACGACGCCGATGCGCTGCGTGCGGGGCGGACCTCCTCAGTGCTGGGGTGCATGGTCAAAGCGCCCTCCACCTTGGGCACTTTCCTGCGCAGCTTCCGGTGGGGCCACGTCCGCCAGTTGGACCGAGTAAGCCGCGAGTTGCTGGCCCGTTCCTGGGCCGCCGGTGCCGGACCCGGCGACGGGCCGTTGACCATCGACCTGGACTCCACCATCTGCGAGACCTACGGGCTGGCCAAGGAGGGGGCGCGACACCATGGCTACACCGGCCAGCGGGGCTATCACCCGTTGCTGGCCGTGGCCGCCGGAACCGGCGACGTGCTGATGTCCCGTCTGCGGGAGGGCCGGTCCAACACCGCCCGGGGCGCCGCCCACTTCCTGCGGGAGACGTGGGGACGGGTGCGTTATGCCGGGGCCAGGGGGCAACTCACGGTGCGGGCCGACAGCGGCTTCTACACCCATTCCATCGTCGCCCTCTGCCGCAAGATGAAGGTCCGCTTCTCCATCACCGTGCGCCAGCACGCCCAGTTGCGCAAGCTCATCGAGGCCATACCTGAGGATGCCTGGAGGCCCATCCCCTATTGGATGGACGGCGCCGCCGACGTGGCCGAGGCTGAATACACACCTTTCCGTAGCGAGCCCGATGCTGCGCCGGTGCGGCTCATCGTCCGGCGGGTGAAGCCCGCGCCCGGTTCCCAGTTGGCCCTATTCGCCAGCTACAGCTATCACGCCTTCATCACCGACCGCGACGGCGACACCCTGGAACTGGAGGCCGACCACCGCCGCCACGCCGAGATCGAGAATGCCATCCGGGACCTGAAGTACGGCGTGGGGCTCAACCATCTCCCCTCGGGCCGCTTCTGCGCCAACGGCGCCTGGCTGGCCGTCCAGGTGCTGGCGCATAATCTGGCCCGTTGGGCAGCGCGCATCGGTCTGGGCGAGCAACTGGTGACCACCAAGACCCTGCGGCGACGCTTCTTCTCTATGGCCGGACGGCTTACCCGCTCGGCGCGCAGACTCACTTTGCATCTTCCCCGGGGCTGGCCCTGGGAGGAGCAGTTCAGCCGCGCCCTGGCCCGATTGCGCGCCCTGCCGCTCCCGTCCTGACGGCGCTATCCGCAACCGACCCAACGCCTCCAAACTCGCGTCCGCCCGCGCCGCGAGCGTATCCTGCTGCGTCCAATGTCACTATCACGCGATTCCCAGCGTTCCCAGACCGCTCTCGAAGCCCGGTGCGGCTACTGAAAACCCTCTGCCGTGTCACATCGGTCCCCATGGAGCCCAGGCTTTCTCCCTGGTAGGCTCCCTCATCCCAACTTGCCTGGCCTTCACGCCTCCCATCGGTGGATTCGGGCTTGGGGAATGTCGGTTTCTTCGGGGAACACAGGAGCGTTAGGCAGGAAACTGAGCTTGCCAGCTCGCTGTCTGGCTCCCTGCAGCAGATGGAATAGGTTGGGCGGTCCGAGACCTGCTGTAGGTATTCTGCCCAACTGTCGCTGATACTTGTCCCACAGGTTTACGTCGATGACTATGGTGTGGCAAATTTCGATTATGCGGTCAATTAAGTGGACGCACGTCGGATCGTAATTGCCCTGAGGGTCTGCTTTTCTCTGCGCCAGAATTATGACGTTTTCGTCGAGGATGAATTGCCGGGTCATTCTGCTGGTTTTAGGCGGTTGAACTGGGCCTGGGCAAAGCGGTTCATCTCTTCCAGGTTGGTTTCAAAGAAGTCGTTGATTCCACCCTCTATGGTTCCATCTGGATTAATCCTCAGGTCCTTGGCGGTGCAGGCTCCTTGCTCATCTTTCTCAAAGGCGTAGATTGCAACGTCGTCCGGCGTCAACTCTCCCTCGGCGACCAGAGTTAGCAGGCGGCCGGTAATGTGCTCGCTGTGGGTGGTCATAATCACCTGTTTGCCGTCTTCCTTGGCTACCTCCGCCAGCACCGAGGCCAACTCGGCTTGGGCCTTGGGGTGCAGGTGTATCTCTGGTTCTTCAATCATGACCGTGGCGCCACGGTCAGCAGAGGTCAGTTGCAGTAGCAGCATGATCAGGGAATTAGTGCCGAATCCCTCAGAGACCAAATTTACCGCTCCCAACGTGGTAATTGATTTCACCTCTACAGACTGAGATGGCACTGTAAGGGCTTGCAATCCTACCCCTGTGACACGCTCGAGCAGAGGAGATGTCTTCTCAATGTCTAATGGTGAGTAGGCCAAATTTGTCGCTGTTTGGGCCTCTTGTTGAGCGAACCCGCCCTCCATAGCAACATCAGGAGCCCAGTTGTCCTTCAGCTTGTATGCAAACCGAGTGAATCCACGCACTGCAGGGATTATCCTGAGTGTAGCAAGCACTGAGAGGGGCAGGTCGTCTATATTTTTGGGATCTGTTTCAAGGGGTTGAAGTTTGTCTTCTGATATTTCGGCACTATATGTAAAAGAATGTCTTCCCCTAGCGATTCCTGGTGTACCAGCAAAATATATTTCAGGGCTGTTGTGGTCAAAATGCCAAGACAAAGCCCGCGGGTCAGAAATATTAACCAGGGGACCCTGCGTATTGAGGTCACATCCGGAGGCCATAGCTTGGCGGTCCCTAGAGTCCTGATACCGGCAAAAAGTCTGCTTCAGCAACCCAAAGGCCTGCAACACGCTGGACTTACCCGTTCCGTTGGCGCCCACAAATGCGGTTATCTGCTTTGGACGTATGTTGACAGTGCGGAAGCACTTGAAGTCTTCCAAATAAATTTGGGTAATCATAAGGCAGCCTCACTAAAGCCAGTATATAAGATAGGCTGTTGACGGGGCAATTAGTTGGCAGGCAAGCATACGTATACCAGGACTCGGAGGGAGTCCTGCAGTACCCGGTGGTAAAGGCAAAATGGGGGGAAATGAGCGGAAATGGGGGGGAATTAAAAATTTTCACCCCGCTCTGCCAGGTAGTGGCTCTGGAGGTGCGGGCCCTTCCGCTTATCAGGGGCTTGTCGAGAATTGCCCGAACGCCAGTGGTTCGACAAGCTCACCACGAAAGGAATCTTGGTGAGGGTCCACATCACGAGCCCACGCCCAAGTTGACATCATCCCCTATCAAACCTAGACTGGGCAAGTTGGCTTACTAACCAGAAGGGACGTACCTTGGGCATTCTTTCCATAATTCTTGATCGGCTGAACATCGTCAGCGCTTTTCGTGAGCTGGGTGGCTCTCCCCACCGCGTACAAACTCTGTGGGCACTGGCTGCCTCTCAACTGCTGGTACAACTGACCTTCCTGCCCGTAACCCTGGCTACCCCTTCCATTGGCGACTACTTCGGTGTTGACGTGGATGATGCCGCCTGGACGGTGATCATCCGCCTGTTGATGCTGGGCAGCACCGTGTTCCTCACCTCCCGGCTGGGGGAGAAGTACGGACACGTCCGAATCTTCTTCATCGGAATCTGCGTCCTGACCGCCTCCAACCTGCTGGCGACCACGTCCCAAAGCCTGTGGCAGCTTATCCTCTGGTGCGGCATGGGCGGCTTCGGCGGCGCCCTCATAATTGCCAACTCCAACGCCATCATTGCCATGGTGTACGAACCCAACGAGCGGGGCCGCGCCTTTGCCGTGCCCGTCACCGCTTCCCGCTTCGGCACCCTGATTGGCTTGCTTCTCTTCGGCCTGTTCCTGGAATACATCAGCTGGCGGCTGGTTTACATGTCGGCCCTGGTGGTGGGCATAGTGGCCATCTGGTTCGCCCTGCCCGTGCTGAAGTACCAGAGCTACCAGTGGGTGCAGTCCGGCGGCGAACGGGCCAAGGTAAAGATCGACTACCTTGCGGCGGCGGTGTTGGTGGCCGTACTGGGGACGTTCATCCTGTCTGGCTCCCACCTCCACGACGGGGCAGAGTCATTCACGACGCCCCAGGCCCTGGGCTACCACTTGCCAATGCACATTCTCAGCCTGGCCCTGGCCGGACTGTTCATCGTGCTGCAGATGCGCAGCATGACCCCCTTCCTGGACTTCCGGTACTTCAAGCGCAAGTACTTCTCCATGGCCCTGTTCAGCAACACCACCTGCCACATGTCCATGCTGGTCATCTTCACCCTGGTGCCCATTGTGGTGGAAGATGGTCTGGGCTACAGCCCCCTGGTGGTAATGCTGGTCCTGCTGCCCCACCAGACCTTTGGACTGTGGCTGCCGGCCATCGCCGGTTATATCTATGACAAATACAACCCCCGCTGGATGGGGCCCATGTCACTGTTTTTGATTGCCTCCGGCGTGGCGTTGCTGGGCCTGTTTGCCAACCAGGTGCCAATTTGGGGTGTTCCCATTCTGCTGCTGCCCGCGTCGGTCGGTACCGCCCTGTTCATATCCCCCTACAACGCGGTGGTGATGAACACCCTGCCGGATAACCGCAGCTTTGCCTCCGGGATGCTGGAGACGACCCGCCAGATGGGGCATACCGTGGGCAGTACCATTGGCGCCACCATCCTGGGTCTGAGCCTGCCGGTGGCCGCCGAGTTCATGACCTCCGCCGAGGCCCGCCCCTACTACCAGCAGGGGTTCCAGATTGCCGCGCTTTCCGTGGTATGGATCATTGTTGCCGGGGGCATCGTGTCAGTTTTCCAGCGGGTGCCGGCGGTAATGCGCCAGCGGGAGCCTGAACTGGCGCCGCAACCCGGGGCCGATGATTAGGCTGGTCGCCCAACTCCGGGATTGACCGCCAACCCTGCCTCTCGGATAACATACATTCGACTCCAACTCCATGACTCCAGAGGAATGGGAGGCCCCTAATGACTTCTACCCACGTTGACTTCACCCGCAAAGACACTTTGGCCGTTATCACTCTCAACCGGCCCGAGGCCCGCAACGCCCTGACCCCGGATATGGTGGCTGACCTGGGGCAGGCTATTAAGGATTGTGCGCGACCGGAGATTCGGGCGGTAATGCTGACGGGTACGGCGGGGTCATTCTGCGCCGGGGCCGACGTGAAGGATTTTGTCGAAAACCTGGAGGAAGGGGGGCCGGAAGGACTTTCCCAGCACCTGCATAATCTGGCGGATTCTCTTCATCGGAACATAATCATGGGCATACGGCAATTGGAGAAGCCGGTTATTGCCGCAGTTAACGGTGTTGCTGCCGGGGCCGGTTTCAGCCTGGCTCTGTGCTGCGACCTGCGGGTTGCTTCGTCGGACGCTCGCTTTATCATGGCCTACGCCGGTATTGGCTGCACCGCCGACGGGGGTTCCACCTATATGTTGCCCCGGCTGGTGGGCCTCAGCAAGGCCATGGAAATCTACATGGCCAGACAGCCCATCGGCGCCGAGTACGCCAGGGAATTGGGGCTGGTGAACCAGGTGTGCCCATCGGAGGGTTTCGAGCGCCACGCATTGGAAATGGCAACGCAACTGGCGCAGGGTCCTACCCTGGCCTACGGACGGGTCAAGACCCTGTTCGATAATTCCTGGGCCGCGGGCCTGGAAGAGCAACTGGACGCGGAGACCGAGGCCATCAGCAAGATAGTCTTCACCGGCGACTTTCAGGAAGGGGTCAAGGCCTTCACCCAGAAGCGCATGCCTTGGTTCCAGGGGAGGTAGTTGGGGAAGCCTGTTTCCGAATAAGCCTCCAGGAAGGTTCGACCCCCTCATTTGGCAAAGAGCTATAATAATTTGTGGTTTGTCACCCTTGATATCAAGATGGAGTTGGGGCGGGTTGTGTGGAAATAAGCTTCAGGACGCGCAGGCTAGCGAGGGTATTCGGCTCTGAAAGAGAACTCAGGCGGGAATATGGTAGTACTATGGCCCGTGCTATCGTGACGCGCATGAATGTACTGAGACAAGCGGATGACCTTACGCAAGTACCGACCATCCCACCTGAGAGGCGTCACGCATTAACAGGACAAAGAATCGGCCAATACGCAGTTGACCTGACACACCCTCGTCGTCTAGTCTTTGTTCCCAACCACACTCCAATTCCAACTCGAGGTGATGGAGGAGTCGACACTGACCGGGTTACCTCTGTCGAAATAATTGAAATAATTGACTATCACTAAAGGACAGGAAACTATGCCTGCAAAAGGTGGGTATCCCTACGAACCGGATTACGTGGTGCCTCCAGGTTGGATTCTGGAAGATTATCTGGAAGCTCGGGGAATGACTGCGGCCGAATTGGGAAAGCTTTGCAGAATCACGGCTAAAGAGGTTAAACAAATTCTGGTTGGGGAAGCACCAATAGAAAATGAAACGGCCAAGCTGTTAGGAACCATCTTCGAATTGGATGCAAAGATATGGCTTCGAATGGAGGCTAGCTACCGTGAGGGGCTGAAGCAAGGGAAGAAAATTCCCTCATTCGAAGAAGAAACGGTTACCTAGCGCTCTAAAACCCTTCCTCCATATACCCCGCTATCTCCTCCAGGTGGAAGTTGCCCACCGCTATTTCCGGCGCCCAGGTAACCTGATCCGACGACCACCGTACTGTGCCAGTACGTTCTGATCCGATGCCCATGATGTTGTGAATCACGCGGAGGATGTTGTCATTCATTCGCAGCGTGTTGGGCTTCAACGGCTCGGCCAGTTTGCCGTCCCGGATCACGTAGGAATCTCCGACCACGGTGCCGCTGAAGTCGCCGCTGGTAAACCCGTTTACCGGATAGGTGTACCAAATGCGGCCGATGTAAACTCCATCGCCAACCCGCCGCAACAATTCGTCGCGGTCCAATTCCTCCTGGCTCTCGATGACGAGGTTGGTGGGTACTGTTGAGGGATGGGCTCCGAAGTCCCGACCGCCGCCGTTGCCGGCCCGGAAGCCGTTGCGGGGCAGCAGCCCAGGTTCTACGGCCGCCGGTTCAACCCCCAGTTTCTCCCGACCCCGCCGGTCGCCTAGGATGCGCCGGTAGTTGTAGTGGTCGGACAGCAGCCCCACCAGCCGGCCGTCCCTGATCAGGTCGGTGCGCCCGGTGGGCAGCCCTTCGTCGGTAATGGCCTTGGAACCTGCCATCCCTGCCAATGAACCGTCGTCATAGAGGCAGAGTTTATCTGAGGCGATCTGCTGGCCGAATTTCTTCATAAAGGGAGAGGCGTCGGCGTAGAAGCTGTCCAGGTAGAGACCAGGCAGCAGAATCCACTCCAGCAACTCAGCCACCGGCTGGGGCCCCAGAACCACTCGGTAGCTGCCGCTGGGCACTCTTTGCCCGTCCATGGAGGCTATGGCCCGCCGGGCTGCGTCGCCTGCCGACCGGCCGTCGAAGTCGGCCAGGTGGGTGGCAACCGACCAGCCACTGCCCTTGGCGTTCATCTCTTCCACCATGGCGGTGGCGAAGGACATAACGAGGGTGGACTCGTCGGTCTGGGGCTCAGGCATGGCAGTGGAAGCGATGGCCATCCTTTCGTGCTGCAGTACCAGGTCGCCGCCCAGGATCAGCCCCAGATCAGATAGCTGGGCTTCTTCAACACTATCGGGAAGCCCTGCCCTGAACCGTTCCAGTGCCGCCAGCAGGTCCTCCGACGACTGGAATACATCCAGGGCTTCCCGAAGCATGTCCCAACCGTGGGCCAGCAGCTTGGAGTTTCGCAGCCGCATCAGGGAAGGGTCGTGGTACTCGGTTAAGTTGGTCCGGTTGGCGGAGGGCTTGGGAAGGCTTACAAACTCCCGGTCCCGCACCGCGCCTTGTCTCGCCTTTTCAAGTGCGCGTTCTACCCCGCTCTGGGTCAGGTCGCTTGGCTCGCTGCCCATGCCGATCTTGGTTCCGTCGTAGGAGCGAAAGGCGGCGCGAACGGAAATGCCATTGGATTCAATGGACTTGGGTTCTTCAACACCGTTGCAGGGAATGTGGGAAGTGTAGTTGAGGCGAAGGGTAATGTTGGAGTTGGAGGAGGCAAACACTTCCGCCTCGACCACGCCAGGCTGGTCGGCGACGTAGGCCAGGGCGTCACGAACGGCAACACGTAATGTTTGGATTGGGATCATCTTTAAGGATCCTGATAATCAAAGAGAGGATAGTTGCCAGCCGGGCCCCTATCCTGTCTGGTCGTCTACAGCATTTGGCTTCGGAAGATTGTGCCCGTGCATTATGCGTATTGAATTTGAGCCGCATGTGCTCATTGAGATGGATGCGGCACGTTTGCTCATTACATTAAGAGGGCGTCGGTGCGGATCAGCCTTTCATTCGGAGTGTCAACTTCCAGCATCAGGCCTTGTAATGAATATGCACCTAGTAGAGGTTGCATTTCTTCGTCGCCAAAGACTACCAGGGTAATAACGGAATGGCCATCGATTCGTATCCAGGGTTGAACCACATCTCTTTGGATTCTCCTCCCGTCGGCCAAGACAAAAGTCAGTTGGTCGTGAGACAAGACGCCCAGTTCCCGAAGCAAGGAACCTGGAACGGTAGTGATGCTTGCCCCGGTATCCACCAGGGCGTTCACCGTCTCAAAATGGGAGGCTTCGGGATCACCATTTTCTATGTCAGTCCTGAAAGTGCCCAAAAACTCTCCTGGAGCCCACGATATTCTTGCTTGATGGTTCCGGCGCAAGGAACAATGTTTCAACCTACCAAGAGAAGTCAAGAAAAGCTACTTTCGCCCCGCAATCAATTTCAAGAAGTCGTGGCGGGTGATGATGCCTGCCAGGTTGGAGCTGTCCATAACGGGCAGTCGATGGATCTGCAAACGCATCATCAGGCGGGATATTTGCTCGATTCTTTCGTCCTGTTGCACCGTGACGACGTTGCGTCGCATTACGTCCTTTACCAGCTTGCTGCCCACCTGATGCGCTGTCTCTTCCAGGTGTTGCGGGGTGGTAGTGGTCCCCAACAGGCTGTAAACATTCTCCACCAGGGGACGGAACTTGGGGCTCAACCCGAAGTCCGAGTGGGTCAGGATGCCGACCATCTTTCCGGGCGCCATTCATCACCGGCAGGGCGCTTACGTCTCGGTCCAGCATCATCCTGGCCGCTTCACCCACAGTGGCGTCCTCCTGGATGGTTATTACCGGCGCGGTCATCAGGTCTTTGGCGAGCATTGGTGTCCTTCAGCATGGCTTATTGATTGGGGTCAATCCCTCTTATTCCAATCTTAACATACCATATTCGCTCTTCCCCAGACCGGCACGGCCGGTCAGGTTTTGAAGGAAAGATTGCAACCCTACCTTAACAACAAACAACACCTTAAATCACTAAATAGTGTTTATATTTGACGCAAATAGGCTGGTAAGGGTATTCTTTCCCCATGGCACAGGAAGGTAATTTCAAGGTTATTCGCGAGCGTAACGTCATGGTGCCGATGCGTGACGGCACCTGCCTGGCGACCGACGTTTTTCGGCCGGACGCACCAGGGCGATTCCCCGTACTGGTCAACCGTGGCCCCTATGGCAAGGACGACTACGTGGCTGCGCCGGACCATTCCGTTTGGTTCTTTCCCACTCACGGCTACGTGGTGTTGAGCCAGGACTGTCGGGCCCGCTTCGAATCGGAAGGAGACTACTACAATCCCCTGTTCCAGGAAGTGCAGGACGGCTACGACACGGTGGAATGGGCCGCACGCCAGCCCTGGAGCAACGGACGGGTAGGCACTACTGGGCAGTCCTATTTGGGAGCTACCCAGTACACCATGGCAACCAATAATCCCCTGCCACCGCACCTGCAGGTCATGGCTCCGGTGTCCGCTTCTTCCGACTTCCACCAAAGCTGGGTTTACCATACCGGCGGGGCCATGGAATGGGGGTGGATGGTGCCCTATGCCATCCACAAGGGCCGCAATACCCTGCAACGCCTGGGACGGGAAGACCTGCTGGCCCAGATGGACGAGTACGTGCTGGAGCCGGGCAACTTTGGCCGTCCGCTGAGCGACGAGTGGTTCCGACACCTGCCCTTAAAGGACTGGATTGACCGTCTGAAGGAGACCGCTCCTTACTTCAAGGAATATTTCGATCAGGAACTGGACGGCACCTACTGGTGGAAGCTGAATCTGCTGCACAACCTGGACGGCATCAAGATTCCCATGCTCCACGTCAGTTCTTGGTATGACATTTTCCTGGAAGGGGCCCTTAATGCCTACAGCGCCATCACCGACCGGGGCGGCGACGAACTAGCGCGTCGTAACCAGAGATTGCTGGTAGGCCCCTGGGCCCATATCCGCCCCTACACCCGGGCGACCTCGGGCGATACCGGCGACATCGACTTTGGCCCGGAAGCGGCTATAGAACTGCACGACCACCTGCGCCGCTGGTTCGACCATTGGCTCAAGGGTATGGACAACGGTGTTATGGATGAGCCGCCCGTCTATCTCTTTGTGATGGGCGAAAACAAATGGCGGCACGAGAACGAATGGCCCCTGGCCCGTACCCATTACACCCGGTACTACCTCCATTCCGAAGGCTCTGCCAATACCCGGGGCGGTGACGGTTCCCTTTCCAATGTTCCGCCGGTTGAGGAACCAACGGATAGCTACGTCTATGATCCCGACAACCCGGCGCCCACCCTTCGGGGCAACACGTTGATGATTCCCCACGGGGTGCAGGACCAGCGGCCCGTGGAAGACCGGCCGGACGTGCTGGTTTACACGTCGGAGCCTTTGGGGTCGGACCTGGAGTTGACCGGACCAATTTCCGTGAAATTGTTCGCTGCCACCAGCGCCGTGGACACCGACTTCACCGCCAAGCTGGTGGATGTACGCCCCGACGGCTATGCCCAAAACCTGCAAGACGGAATCGTGCGCGCCCGCTATCGTACCTCGGCTCGGCAGCCCTCATTCATTACACCGGGCAGGGTGCATGAGTACACAATAGACCTGTGGGCCACCAGCCACGTGTGCAAGGCGGGTCACCGGCTGCGGGTGGAAATTTCCAGCAGCAATTTCCCCCGTTTCGACCGCAACCCCAATACGGGAGCTCCCTTGGGTGAGGATGAGCGCCTGGAAGTGGCGCAGCAGATTATTCACCACAGCGCGGAGTATCAGTCTCATATAGTACTGCCGGTCATACCCCGGTGAGGCGCTTTGAAACAGGGTCAACGACAATAATATAGAGAGAATACTTCCCTCTCCCGGGAGAGAGGGCCGGGGGTGAGGACACAAGAGTCCTGGCCCGGAGGATCGAAGCATGACAACCGGAATCAACATTTTTACCCAGGAACAACGAGACCTGCTCACGGCAGCCTATAACCGCATCGTTCCCGCCCAGGACAAGTTTCCCGGGGCGGGTGACCTGGGAGGCGCGCAATTTGTAGAAGAAGTGGCGGTGAAGAATGTGGCGCTGCGCCGGTCCTTCGGCGAGGGTCTGGCCAGGCTGGAAATTGCCGCGTCGAGTCGGGGCAATTCAGGTTTCGCAGCCCTTTCGCCTGATGAACAGGACAATACCCTGCGGGAGGTAGAATCGGAATCTCCCGTCTTCTTCAGGGAACTTGTGCGCCAGTGCTACAACTTTTATTACACCAACCCGGAAGTTTTTGAACTTATTGGATATAGCCTTCCCGACCCCCAGGACTATCAGCCCTTGCCTTTTGACGAAAGCCTGTTGGAACCGGTACGGCAGCGGGGCCAAATGTGGCGACCGGTGTAGCTTCGTACCTGGCTTCCTGAATTCCTGGTGACCGGGAGAGGAACTAGAAGGCCGGAGGTGGATCGATGCTTAGAGTAGACCTTGACCGCCAGCTTAACCACTTACAGGAAGAGATTGCGCTGCTTGCCAATGTAGTCGACAAAGCTATCTACCGCTCGGTCGAAGCGCTGAAGAACCGGGACCTGGACGAGTCACAGGCCGTGATAGATGGCGACGACTACATAGACATGAAGCGGTACGAAATAGAAGAGCTGTGTGTGGACCTGATCGCCACCCAGCAACCCATGGCGGGAGACCTGCGCGCCATAATTGCCATGCTGCACATTGCAGTAGAGCTGGAACGAATGGGCGACTACGCTGAGGGCATCGCCAAAATCAGTATTTTGATGGGCAACGAGCCGCCTCTGAAACCGCTCATCGACATTCCGCGCATGGCGAACAAGGCCACGGAAATGCTCCGCAACAGCATGGATTCCCTGGTGGAGCGGGACCTGGTCAAGGCGGAGCAGGTCTTGGATGACGACGACGAGGTGGACGACCTGTACGACCAGGTTTACCGTGAGCTGTTGCTCTTCATGATCCAGGACCCGCGCAGCATCCAGCGGGCCACATACTTGCTTTGGGCCGCCCACGACCTGGAACGCATCGCGGACCGCGCCACCAACATTGCCGAGCGGGTGATGTTCCTGATTACCGGGCGGATCAGGAAGGAAAAGGTAAGCAAGTATTAGCACAGGTTGACCCCTTGGGCAAAACTGGGAAGCAACACAAAAAGCCGGGGCGGATACATGATCCGCCCCGGCTTCTTCTTGGCTCGTTGAAGATGGCCGATACTTACGCAATCAAGGCCAGTTGCTGGTACTGGCGCGGCGCGTTCAGCTCCCTGGGTGGGGTAACGGAGGGCAGTCGGAAACGGCGGCGGGCCTCATCAACCAGGCCCAGCACCGACTCGGTGTAGTCCTTTTCCGCGTAGGTGTTGCGGTAGAGCCGCTGGTACCCGGGCGTCAGGTGCGGGTAGGACTCCTGCAACATGGGCATGAACCATTCCTTGGAACCGGGCTTCAGGAACAGCAGGTTCGCCGACAGGAACTGGGCGTGGTGCTGGACCGCAGCCTGAACCGTGGCGTTTATATGCTCGGAGCTGTCGGAAATACCGGGCAGCAGGGGGGCCATCATAACGCCTGCCGGAATCCCGTTCTCCACCAGGAACTGCATTGCCTCCAGCCGTGCCAGGGGATTGGGAGTGCCCGGCTCGGTCCGCTTCCACACCGTTTCGTCCACGCTGCCCACGCTGAAAATCACCTGGGCGTCGGAGGCGTAGTACAACTCTTGCAGCACGTCCACGTCCCGCCGCACCAGTACTCCTTTGGTGGTTATTGAGGCAGGATTACGGAACTCGGCCAAGACCTGGATAATCTGTCGGGTTAGCCGGTACTGGCCCTCGGCAGGCTCGTAAGGGTCGGAAGCCGTGCCGATGGCTACCGGTTCGCCCTTCCAGCGAGGCTTGCGCAGTTCGTCCCTCAGCACTTCCGGGGCATTGACCTTGGCGAACACCCGCTGGTCAAAGTCGTTACCGGCGTTCATCCCCCAGAACTCGTGGGTGGGACGGGCATAGCAGTAACGGCAGGCATGGCGGCACCCGCGGTAGGGGTTCAAAGTCCACCGGAAGGGGTAGCCCGGAATATCCACCCGGTTCAGCAGGGACTTGCAGGTAATTTCCTGGACTTCGGCTTGAGCCATGACGTCACCCCGGTTGACAACAGGTTAGAACAAGTGTGCTAATTATAAGAACGAAAGTTCTAGTAGTCAAGTCGGGATTTGACATGAGTCATCCCGGATTTTTGAGAACTGGTAGAAAGTAGTCTAGGAAAAGCCTGCAAGAGAAGCCCCTGGTTTGGTGGAGTAGAAGTGAGCAAACTTCAAACCGTCAAGCGAGGGGCTTTTCTATGGTGCGGCAGGGGGAGGGGCGGAAGCAAGCCCAATGCCTGCAAGACCGACCTGGCCATGGAAAGCCCCCGCCTCTGGTTCTGGGAGAACCGGCTCACGCTGTTGCTCATGGTCAGCCTGCGCTGCTCCTTCCTGCTTTCTCTGCTACACCCTCACTGCCAGCCCCCGGTGGAAGGTCTCCTGCGAAACTGGTGCCACAGAACCGGGAAGCGGTACCGCGACGCCGCGATACCGCTTCCCACAATCAGATCAGCTTTAAGCGCCCTCTGGCTCGCCTACCCTCCCCCTTTATCACCATGCACCCAAAATTCGGGATGACTCATGTAAGTTATTTCCAAATTACTGGGCTCCGCCCGGTATGGCAGTGGGCTATCCCACCACTTCAATCTCGCCGTTGCCGTTGCCGTTGGCGGCAAGCAGGGGGGTGAAGTCATACCCACGGCGTCTCAGTTCGTCGCTGCCGCCCTCCCGCCGGTCAAGAATGGCCAGCACCTTTACGCATCTAAGAAAAACAGGGAGGGCCATGTGGCCCTCCCTGAGAATTTCGGTCCCCCTGACCAAACTGGTGTACCGCTAGTACTACAACGACGCGTTTAAGGTGGTGGCTCCATCCTGCCTTCACGGCGGGCGGAGCGGCGTCTCTGGTGGGAGCGGCGCGCCCGCTCGTTGCGTAGCTGCGTATCCTCCAGCCACAGCAGCAACTCCTCCGGCCCGAACCGTTCCCGGGGCAGCATCTCCCGCACCACCGGTACACCACCGTCTACAGGGGGCAGGCTCTGGGGACGGGTGATCCGGGGCATCTTTTCCCCCCAAGCCTGCTGCAGGCCCAGCAGGAAAGCTCCACCCAGCAGGCACATGGCTATGTGGTGATGCCACCCTGCCCAACTGCGGGTCTCGTATTCGTCCAGCCCCACGTCGCCCTTCTCAGTCTCGAATTCGGTCTCAATACGCCACCTGGAACCCCCCACGCAGGCCAGGGTCTCCAAGGTTGTGTCCTCAGGAGCGTTGGACAGGTAGTAGCGGGGCTCGCTGCCGTCCAGGTTCCGGCGGTAGACGGCCCATGCCTCATGGCCCGGCTTGCCCTTTCGGGTTACCCGCACCCGCTGGGCGCAGAACATATAGCTCCGCGGCCCCTGGCTTCCCTGGGCCACCGTTATCTCCCGCCAGGCCTCATCCGGCAACTCGTCACTGCGCTGCTCCATGGTACGACGCTGCCCGTCCCTGAGCCTGGGCTTGCGGGGGCGCCCGAACCCCGGAGACCTCGGAGTGGTCCAGGCCGACTCCCACGAAGGCTCCAGGGGCCAGACCGGAGTGCTGCCCGGAACGTCCAGCACGTAGCGCATCCCCAGGGCCGCCAGTCCCTCCCGAAAGGTCGGCGACATCCCGAAGGCGTCGTCTCCGGCAACCCATCCGGCCTTGAGGTGGCCCAACCCCAGGGCCCGCTCCAGCAGTTCCAAGGCCAACTCCGTCTTCGACCGGTAGCTCCGCCGCTCCTCGGGCACCCCCGCCGCCGCACAGCGGCCCGGATCCGAGGTCCAACTCTCGGGCAGATACAGCCCTTTGTCCACCAATGCCCGCCCCAGCGGGCTGACGTAGGCCAGGAACATCCCACCCTGGCAGTTGGCCACCTTGCCCAGCCTCCCGCAGTACTGCCGGGCTACCCCCACGGACTTCCTCCCCTGCTTGGGAAAGTCGCTGCCGTCCAACACCCACACCGCCTCGGGGTGAGCCAGCCTGGGGGCCAGGTATTCCTGCAGCCGACCGATCACTGTCGCATCGTCCCACCGGGCCTCGGTCAGAAAACGCTGCATCGCCCGGGCCGAGATGCCCACCGATTCCGACAGGTTCTCGGCGTTGCGCCGCTCCCCAGCCTGCACCAGCAGCCCCTGAAGATAGTTCCAGCTATGCTCCCGCCACTGCTTGCGGCCGAAGGAGGCCGCAAAGAAGGCATGGAATTCCCCAAAGCTGTCGTAGACCCGCTCGAAGCTCGCCCCATCCATAACCCAAACCACCCACTATCATCTTGGCAACTATCCTACCAAACAACCCGTCGTTGTAGTACTAGAAATCTGGCCGGAAAGTGGCGGTGGCCGGGCGGGCGGCTATACTTGGAGTCAACAAGAATAGCGAGGAGAGGAGAATGCTGGGAGAGCGATCCCGGACCAGAGGGGTCTCGGGAAGCGGACCGGTTGTACCTGGACCACGTGGGGCGGGACACCTTCTACGGTCTGCTGGCCTCAGCTGCGGGGCGGCTGTTCCGAGACGCGGATTTCGCCGAGTTTCTACTGCCCGGACAACGGCCGGGACAAGCGTGCCGCCCAGCCTGCTGGCGACGGCGCTGCTGCTCCAGTCCCACGACAAGGTTGAGCGACGCCGAGGCCAAGGCCCGGGCTGACTTCGACCTCCGTGGAAAGTGGCCCTGGGGATTGAGGTGGAGGACCGGCCCTTCGCCAAGAGCACCTGCAGGGTGTTCCGCGCCAGCTGATCCTGCACGACAAGGTGCGGGAGGTGTTCGAGTCCAGCCTGCGGCTGGCCCGGGAGTCGGGCTATCTGAAAAGGGAGCATGCGGGTGTGCGCTGGACAACGACCAACATCCTGGGTCGGGGGCGCGGTGAAGGACACCTGCAACCTGTTGGCGGACGGGGATCGTCAAATTAATGCGTGCGCTGGCAGCAGTGGAGAAGATCACCGTCAAAGAATGGGCCAAGGCCCAGGGATATGAGGGGTACCTGGGTTCCAGTGTGAAGGGCGAGGCCGCCATCGACTGGAGCGACAAACGGCGCGGCAGAGACTGCTGGCCGAGAGATGTGAGAGACGCGGACCGGTGTTGGAGCTGTCGCGGCAGGCGCAGGGGGGGAGTTGACCGAGAATGGTGAGGAGCGGCAGCACATCGTGACGGCGGCGGAACTGCTGGGGCAGTTGCTGCTCCAGGACATTGAGCGCAAGAGCGGCGACGGCGACGGCGATGACGGCGTGAGCCTCAAGGACGGGGTGAGTCGGGACCGGATGATGTCGGTGCACGACCCGGAGATGCGCCACGGCCACAAGAGCAGCAGCCGGCGCTTTGACGGGCACAAGGCGGCGATGTGGTGGATACCGATTCCCAGCTGATCACCGCCGTGGCGGT